CCCCAGGTTCCTTAAAAGTTCTGATCGTAGACCTATAATTTCTGTCTTCACTGTGCTGTTGATTTGTCCTTTAGCCGTGACTACATACGTACCCAGCAGGAACGTCAAACACAAACTACAAGCACCCATCTTGCATTCCGAGAGGTTAAAAGACCCACTGCGTTGTTGAAGTCACGCTTAAATCACCATTGTGAGAAAATAAATGTTGCCTTGGTAACGTACTACGCTGTACATAGGGCTTTCTGAAAGACTATCTCTGTTGGAGTCACCTGAAGAGTATCATAGTACGAAAAACGATGTGTTGACTTCCAAACCCAGACTGCTGTAGGCTATCATAGCTGCACCATTACGCCCCGTTGAAATCATTGTCCACTAATGAAGTCGGACAGACATTGATGTGTTATAGGTGGAATGTCAACATCCACACTGGGAACCTGAAATCAGCTAAACGCTAACACACAACAAAGTGTTTGCATTGAGATCGAATCATTGGCAAGGTTTGGTTGGGTGTTTAATTGTGTGTAGGCAAACCGTACAAAACACTGCTATAGCAAGAGATGGACACTGAATCGATCATCAGTTTTGTGTAATTGTCGTACCTTTGGAGCAATGGAAACAGTAAGCGTATTTATAGACGATTGTGTACTGTTTAATTAGATGCGAACAGGAATTTTCAGTGTAAATGTTTGCTAAAAAACATACTGATTGGCGCGAGTCAGTCATTAGGAATGACTGTTCTTTGGAAGGAGAATTAACACAGTGTTGTGAGAGAGTTGACAGTTGACAAAGGTACGTATTCGTCACCGCTTTGTGTTTTACTCAAAACATGACGACGTCATGCAATTTGCTTTGAAGCAGATAATTCACCTGTAATCCTCATCTTGTATTTACACGTACAACTGACCTAGCACTAAGGTCGTATTGCAAAATTACAAATAAATTGGAGCTTAGCCATGACATGGGAGGAAACATCATTTTAAAAAATGAAAAATCACCCGAATCTGTTGATTCCGAACGTGGAACCAACTCGCCCCTTCGTGGCGTCTGACCATTCTGTACTTCCGGAATTAACAGATTCGGGTGATTTCCCATCACACTTTGGTCTCTAGGAGGGCCAGATTCCAAGGATCGAGGGTTCGAATCCCAAAGTCGCCTTGATAACTGTTGTTGTGTCAGCAACATGCCCGTGATGGTGAAAACCGTCCACAACCTGCATCACTTCTGGAACTCCTACCACGTAAAGCTGTCACGCCCATGATAACACTGAAGTACTATTTAAAACAACTTGAACCCCAGCATTTTCAGTTCCTAAGGGGCTCTTAAACGTAGCCCTTATCTCTTTATCAAAACAGGTTCGTCATCTGTACAGACCGTCATCTCATTATGTACCAATGAAGTCACTTGGATAGAGCACTGCACACTTCTAGGAGATGCTGAGTTTAAAAGGATCGTCAGCAACCGGTGCCGATCTAAGAACCGACTTAGCGGATACAGCAGTCACGGTGCCATAGTTGATTTCATGTCAACGTTAGCCGGACATCACTGCCACAGGCTAATTTGCATATCACGTGACCGGACTTTTCTCTTGTTTGTAATCAAACGTGCATATTCATAATAAGAAGAGATTGGACTCACGAAAGCTTTTCGGCGCTCTCTTCATAATGTTTTACATTGTTACACATATATTCTTCCACAACTGCGACAGTTAGGTCTATGACATAACATATTTAGATATCAAACTGGCTGCATCGTTTGCTCTCCGTCGGCTTCGATGACTGCACGTGGAGCCGTACAACCTATGTAAACAAAGGATCGCTACGCAAATCGAAATAGTGTCACATGTTTTTGGATATTTTCTCAGTGAAACTAAACCATTCTATTAAAGATGTTTAGTTTGATGTGTAAACTCGTCAAAAATATATGAGTAAAAGAAATTTGTACATTTTAGTGAATGGACATTGCAAGGTGTGACGAATCGTCACATTTTTCTGGCCTGTGGCAGAGGTACTATGCTGGCTTGCCGCATGGAACTCTGGGTAGGAGAGTGCAGCGGGTGTTGTTGCTTACAATCAATGACTGGAGTTTCCGGTCCAGACCTAATTATTTCAGACTGCCGCAATGTACCTGGAGTTTGGTGCAAGTCATCCATTACATTTAATAATATATTGATAGTTCAGTCTGCAAACCACAACACACCTGTGGACATATCAATATCACGATGTCAATAATCTGCCATGAATGTAATGAGTGAGTGAGTGAGTTTAGTTTAACGCCGCACTCAGCAATATTCCAGCTATATGACGGCGGGCTGTAAATAATCGAGTCTGGACCAGACAAGCCAGTGATCAACAGCATGAGCATCGATCTGCGCAATTGGGAACCGATGACATGTGTCAACCAAGTCAGCGAGCCTGACCACCCGATCCCGTTAGTCGCCTCTTACGACAAGCATATTCGCCTTTTTGTGGCAAGCATGGGCTGCTGAAGACCTATTCTACCCCTGATCTTCACGGGTCGAATGTAATAATGTATGTGTTGACATGAAAAACGTCATAGCTCTGTTACACGTTCAGGTGTAGTAAGGTGGATCTGATCCATCAAACATCTCACATTTCGATGACTCATACGGGGACATTTACTGATCGAATAGTAACAAAGGGGATTTTTGTATTTAGGGGGTTGGGGGTTCTAAATATGTTTGTGTTAACATAACGTTGTGAATAACTTTATTCAGTTCTGTTCTATCTGACTGACTGAGTTTGCTTTTACGCCGCTTTAGCAATATTCCAGCAACATCACGGCGGGGAACACCAGAAATGGGCTTCACACATTGTACCCTTGTGGGGATTCGAACCCGGGTCTTCGGCGTGACAAGCCAACGCTTTAACCACTAGGCTACCCCGCCGCCCCTGTTTCTATCTGAGGTGACGTAGATGTTTAAGGGTAATTGCATAGAAAATTCATTATTTTGTCTGAAACCCCTGATTTAACAAAAAAAAACGTTTACGTAAATGTGTACGAATGTTTACGAAGATATGTAAACGTAAGGAATGCTGTGAGCAACGCCATTTTTCTTCTGAAATGTCCCTGTGTTGTTACAACATACTGAATAACCCTTTTGGCCATTGTAATGTAATAAAACTTACAACTGAACTTGCAATATAACTTCCTGGGCCATTTGTAGTAATGCACTGAAAGATCTATAGGGTTTATGAGTAACAGAATGCAAAGCACATGCATATGATGGGGATTTTAATAATGTTTTTGAACGTGTCATATTTGGCCTGCTTCGTGCTAAAATTCCCGATAACGTGTTATTTGTGAAATGCTTGTTTTGTCAAACGTCATGGGTAAAATGTGTGAAGCCCATTTCTGGTGTCCCCCGCCGTGATATTGCTGGAATATTGCTAAAAGCGGCGTAAAACAATACTCGTTCGCTCCCTAGAGAATGGAAAGTTATAGACATACTGCGTCTGAAAAATTGCAGACTGCAACATATTTTCCTCGGAATATGAACGAAGCGATTGGACATGGAAACTATACTGTTCGCGTCACCAATACAATTTGTGATTTTTAAGAGGTTACATACCTGTTACCATAATTGCGATTCCAGAACGTGTTATATTTATGGTAGATCAAGGCACAGTGTGGTGGGCGTGATTAGGTTAAGACCTTTAAGGTGGTGGCAGATGTTGCCCAGCCACGACTAATATACACATACACAGATGCTTACAGGAGCCTACTGCTGGCGCACACAAGGCATGATGTGGCAAGGGAGACGTGCAAGGACGTCCAAGACGTTGCTGTGCGTGTGTGTTTGGGGATGTTCAGCGTTCTGTACATGCACAGTCAGATGACGACGCTAGTCAACCAACAAGCAACAAGGTAAACATTAATCTCACAGTTCTATAACCGCATTATTTCCCTTCCACCCACCCCTTTCTTCAATGCTATACTACTTAACGAAACAAGTCTAGAGTTGCTCAGGTTCTGAGTCTTCCATGTCACTGGGCATCCTTATCACTTTTAACGGAATTATTTGTTTCAATCAAAATTGAATATATTCAGAGACCAAGTGTTAGTCTAGATAAACCTCATCTTTCCATGAATGAACACGAGGGGATATGTAAGTGCAGGGGTTCAAAATTTTTTTTAAAAGCCACTTGCCTCAGGGCAAGTCACTTTAAGAAAGTAACTTGTCCTGACTAATTTTTACACTTGCCCTGATTTTATGACATAATTATGATGATGTAATTATGAAAGAAGAAATCAAAATGGTATTTGATGTTAATGTTTACTGGACTATTTATTGAAAAGTGATAAATAGCAAAGAAAGATAACTCTACTTTATTATCATTGCGAAATTTAATAGCTACATTTTGAGCATATACGAAATTAAATCTAAGTTTATTTGCAGTTTGAAACCATAAGTGGAAATTATCTAGTAGCCCACGGACAAGTAAGATACTATTATTTGCCCGAAATGAAAACTGACTTGTCCCGGGCGTCGGGCGATTGGATTTTGAACCCTGAAGTGTAGGACGTAAATGCTGGAATAAAATACCCACTGAGTCCATTGAATAAAGTGGGATGGGCTGGATTCTTTTAAAATGATTCCCAATAATACAAATAATTACTGCAGTACATGTATTTCCGGATGTACCGATCACAAGTTTCCTAAAGGTGAGTAAAATCTAAAATGTTAGATTCTTTGCCTTCATTACGTCGAGTCTATTTATTCTGTTTTTCTGCCATTCATTATCCCGCGGCCACTAATTCAGACTAATTAAGAAAAGACACTGATAGCCAAAATGTATGTCCTTAATTATAGGGCCAACGTAATGTCTAAGAACTGCATCATTTCCATGGCAACAAAAGCATTCTCCCACATATGGAGCTGACGCTATGAATAAAATACTGTATCATCAAGGCGGCATATATACGAACTCACTTTTTCTTTGAACCTGTTCAACACTGCATGTTATAGATTATACGTCGTGATGAAACAGTGGTCAAAGATCGACACTAACATGGAGATGGTGGAGAAACCGAGGCGCTACTTGTCGGAAGAGGACATTCTGCGAAATCCTTTGGATATTGATCTCAAGACGGTGACGGACGCACGGTTGTCTAGGCTGTACCTTCATGGACAGACAACGTTTGCCCTAAACGACACCATCAACGTCAGAATAGAAACATACGACAGTTACGGAAACAGACGAACTGGCGGCGGAGACTACTTCCGGTTATGGATGGAAGAACGTGGATTGGGAGCCAGCGTTACCGGTGACGTCATGGACCATAATAACGGAAGTTACACCGGCATTTTTAGAGCAGTTTGGGCTGGGACGCCAACCATTTTCTGTCATATTGAAAAACGTAAAGAAGAAATCGCTCTCATTTATCGGAAATATCATCAATATGACACATTGTGGTCTGCGCACGCAGACTTCTTCAATGGCGTCGCGATGGAGTCGACTCTCTGTTTCACGCGGCCAATGCCCCCAGCGGAATATTGCGACTTGGCCGCGCACAACGGTGACCTGCCGTACTACTGTGTCCGCCCCTTGCATCCAGACCTCAACTGTAGCATGTTGGTGAACACGTGGACATATCGGCGACGGATACCGATGTCGCCAATAGAGAAGCTTATTTACGACTTGTGAGTACACGATTCACGACCTTCATATTAATATGTCTTTTAATCAACATTCACCGTTGAAGTTGAAGGGACGTAAGTACAAGTGAAAACATGCCCACTGAAACAGTCTCATCTAAAGTGGGGTGTTCCATTTGTTCCCGTGGGGGTGTAAGGTATATTATGTCTTGACTTGACATTACTATCGTCTCACAGAGAGAGAGAGAGAGAGAGAGAGAGAGAGAGAGAGAGAGAGAGAGAGAGAGAGAGAGAGAGAGAGAGAGAGAGAGAGAGAGAGAGAGAGAGAGAGAGAGAGAGAATTTTCTTTAAAAGAAAAGGCACACAATTTTCTTTTCTCATGTAAATATTTATTTCAGTGTTAGGAATGCTGCCATACATGGAGTTCATGCAACATGTGTTGATTTTGCTTGATATCTGTATATCATATGGCATATTGACCAGGTCTTTTGTCATTTAGGTTATAATTCTTTAGCAAAATGTTTGTCAAACACTTAGTCAAACCTGCCATGACAAACTTCGTAACCGTTTGCTACACTGAGTGTAATATCAATGACTACTTCAACATAACATTTCCTTCTGATTCATACAAATACAGGTAGAAGTCCTGTTGATCTAACAGTTACATGTGCAGACAAATATGGATTCAATAAAGCATGTCCATGATGCTTTACTAAAACCTCTGAGTCCAAGTTTACAGGTATGATTCTTGCTAACCTTGCTAAGATATGTGTAATGGGTCACCAAAACATAATGACTGAAGAACTATAACTTGTTCATGATATCAGTGTTAAAGCATGTCATAATCATAATGTACTTAAAACTTTGAAAAATAACCCTGACACAGAATGATGCCTTGTTACACACAAATAACAGAAATTGCTTTGCAAATCTCACTGAACAATAATACGAACAGTCTTTGCCCATACACATTCTATTTTTTTTAAACAGTGAAATAAGTTTAACAAAACACACCAGGCTCAGTAGCAAGGTTTGTTGAAACAATGTATAAACTGAAAATAGTTCCCCCCAAAAGTTTTATCACATGTGATAAACTAGGGTTTAGTCCAATAACAGTAAATCAGGGTGTACCTACATTTGTTGCACCAAAAACAACTATCAGAAATATAATCACTCATCTTGTTTCAATCTGAACAATAACAAAGTCTTATAAACGTATTCATCATTCCTTCTGAACAAAGTATGTCCTCAACTCATAAGCAGATAGAAGAGGATGTGCATCAACACTCAAGGAAGCACTAGTGCTTAACTACCAAACTGCTTTAAACAGTTCCTGTTGTAGTGATCTACTACAAATATTACCCACATCAAGTCTCAGTCATGGAGGTCACATGACCCGCTTATTGTGACCACTCCTGACACATACTGAACATTTTGCTCTCAGCACAACTCTTTTACAACATTCAAAGGATTCAAGCCTGTTCTGTTTCAGAATGATTTGTTTGAGAGCTTCCCTGCCCTTATGAGATGTAGAATGAAAATACCATTTAGTTGTATTGTCATTTAACTTTTCAAATCCCTGTTGGCTGAATGTCACCAAATTACCATGCAATTTAAGCATATCTGTGATGTGATATGCCAAAATATGCATATAAGGTGTCACATCTTTGCTTTGGTAAACAAGTCCAAAAGTGGCCACCCACCTTTTACATCTCTCATCAAGAGCTAAAATGTCACTGTGTTCAAATCTTTCTTGTTGAAGCTGAAGAATATTTTTCAGTTCACTCCACAACAAAGATATCAACTGTAATTTGGGATGTTGGGGAATGAAATCAGCAAGAATTATGTCATCTGCAATTTTCCTGTGCTCAGGGCCAGTAAAATCTCTAAATGTAAACCTACCAGACTCCCTATCATTTCTGAATTGAAAATCAACTCCCAATCCTTGTACAAAATGTTCAAATTTTGCTACATTACAGCATTTGCCTCTGGTGTAAATACTGGTGCATCTGATAATGTTGTCCTTTAACCTGAGTTCTGATATCAAATGCTTCACCAATTGGTCCGAAATCTTGAAGGTACAGGTGTAGCGTGTCAGGTACTCTCCTCCAGAGAGGTATAAAATCAAAGAGGGGGTGTGGACACAGTTCAAATTTTGTGATTTCTTTCTGGCCAACTCAGTGATCTCCTGTATTGTTCTGGCCCCATGCTTCACATCAGTCACTGACCACTGCAAGGTAGTATCATGTCTGTCTGAAGCTGGACATTTACACCACAGACAACTGTGTTTACATGAACAGGATGCAATTCCAGAGATCATATTGAGAAATTTCAAATCCCCTCCCAGATAAAACCTGACTTGAAAACATACACCATCAAGATAAATATATTCTAAGTCCTTTGCTTCTTCAATAATTTGAAAAAGAGCAGCTGAAACACAATCATAAGTTTCCTTTGCAGAAAATGCTGCTAACAAATGGTTCCCCTTTACTGAAGTACACAGCATATCATCCAGTATTGTGAACCCAAAATTGATAAGAGTTCTCCTTCTCCCAAACTGTGTTCCATCACCTGTAAGTTTCACACGAACAAGTTTTGTTTGTAAAATGGTGGTGGTGTCATGCTTCATTTCTAGAATGTGTGAAACACAGTTAATGAGTCTTTCTTTCAAAGACTGCTGAACCCCAAAACTTGGATATGGTGTGTCATGAATTAAAATATTTTCATTGCATTCCTTGATTTTATTAAGTACCTTGTGTGATCTAGGAAGGGAGGGTACTATCATAGATAGTTCATGGTATGCCTTGTTTGAAACACCTTCTGAATCTTTCACGTAAACAACTTTATTCAATTCCACATCAGGAGTAAATGTTTCTTTGACCATGTTCTCCTTCATTGATATCTGGATTTGCCTCCCTTCACTGTCAACAGCTTGAACTGAAGTAGGTTCTAGCTTATATCTGTCCAAAAAATGCTAAAGACTGTTTACAGTCTCTTACAATCATATGCTTCCTTTTATACTGTTGGGACCTGGACACCTCCCCACAAGGAAAATGCAATTTCAATGAGCGTCTATTGGACATATCTGAAGGCAAATTTCCTTTTTTGCATATTTAACAGTTTTGTGGATAGGAATTGAACCTTTTTTCTTAGATTGATATTTTGTAAAAGTAAGGATTTGGCCTTCCTTACAGAAGATTTGTACTTGTGTAAATATGACACCCTTTTCAACAATTTTGATTTTGATGTTTTTATGTTGTGTTCAGACACAAATACTGTGAAGGAATATTGTTCCTTCTCCCATGTACCTAACAGAGACTTGTACTGCTTCCCACCCTTACTTCTGGTTCTATCATGCCTTGAAACAAGGTGTTTCAAATATGAAGCCAATGTAGATGACATTTTGCCATATTCAACAATGCTGCAGTCAATTTGATTTTGTCTGCATAGAACAGTTATTATTTTGTTGCATATATCTGTGGAAAATGTGTTTTCTTGGCGTTAATCTCTTATATTCGAAAAAGTGAGAGTTTTGATACACTTATGTTAGTTGCTTTTGGCGACAAAGTCATTCCTGATCTCCTAGTCACATTGCTAAGTGGCATGATTGAGCAGTATGCAATACAATAGAACAAAAACAAAATGCTTGGCCAATTCATACCTAAGCTAGGTAATACAGATACATTCCAAGACTATTTAAAACAACTGTTAACTGAAACAATCATCTTTCAATGGCAAGATGAGCCAATTATAGAAATACAAGAATTCAAACTTATTTTGCCAACTTATAGAATTTTGTTCCCCAAATCTGTCTCCTTGACAGCTGGAACATACATTTTGTTACATTACATATGGTCAGTTGCAAGTTTCAAGAAGTCACTGTGAAATGGTGAGTGAAGGGCAGGAAAACTGACATAAAAATGTTTAGTTGTTAAGTATGCACCTTAAGAGACACAGCTCACTTCTGTTTCCCTTTTCCTTCACAAATCTCAGGAAAAACATGAATCCTCTATGAACCAGCTTAAGGTCATTGTTCAAGGTGTACTCCTCACGCATCTTTTGCTCATAGTAGCCAAACAAAACTGTTTCCCTATTGACATAGGCAAAATCATTGGCTTTGTTCACAATTCTGTACCACCAATCGTTTCCAAACAAAATGTCTGGGCCATGGACATCGTTGAACCTGAACTCATGTCTCACATAACTGGACACTGATGACACTTTTTGAGCAATATCAGTGAGTGAGGTGGTCACATCTGGTGAGGTTATTGGTATCCGTATTACAACACGAGAATCTATCCCTCTGGAAACAGTGAGATTGTCCCTCAAGGAGGACAAGACAGTGAACAGAAAAACATCCTTTGGGTCATTGCTCATAAGAGATGACCTAGTTACAGTGGCAGATGCCTTCACCCACTGGTCAAACTTACTGGAAAACCCTACATAGTGAACTTTGACCAGATCAGTTCCATCTGCATCTGTTTTAGACTCAATAATCTTCACGTCAAAAAAGCTGTGAACTTCTCCAGCCTTTCTCCTTCGGTGTACTTGGGTTCGGCAGCCTAAATGATGGTCCAGTGTTCAGTCTAGAGTAATCTAGAGCTTGTTTCAACCTCAACGTTGGTGGCATTCTGGCTGACAAAGGAAGATCATCATATAAATTATTTGAAAACCATTTGAATTTCATGAACAAGGGGATTAACTTACATTTTACTTTTGTTTTTCATATTGGAAGGTTTGTCTCTACCATTTTCGGAGAATAATATTGTTAAATATTAAACATAAAACATCATTCAATAACGTGGTAGGTACAAAACATGTGTCACTTTGGTCATTGCAAGAAACAGAGACATGCCTGTAAACACAGACCTTGTCATTGAGCTCGGAAGACGAGGTGCATGGGTTTCATTTAAGACTGAACATAATGTGTTCACAGCAATACAGTTTACTCCTCAAAATAGAGACGTTCCTTTCTTTTTGATCCCTTATTGTCATTTGTTCAAATTGTGTGTATATATAAAGTAACAGGAGCAAGCATTTTAGTATTCAATGTGTATTCACTACATGCAACACTACATGTAACAATTGGCTTCAGCCGATATAACTAGCACTAGGCTACAATTTTTTCAATGTGCATATAAAGTGTGTACTGGTTTTTGTTCTCTCTTCTTCCCCAACTTTTTACCTTTTAACTCAAAAATAGGACTAAACAAAAAGTAATTTGAATTTTCCAGAACATTTATTAGTAGTATCTTGTGTTCTTTGTTAAAATAAACATACAAAGTACATTTGTGTCACGATATGAGATTTAAAAAATTATTTTCTGAATATTTTACCTCAAAATAGACTTCACATAACATTATTGGACTTTTGTGTTGACCTTGTGTTCTCTTTGTGAAAATTACATAGAATGGTAAATTTGTGTCTCAATATATGTGATTTTAAAAATTATTCACTGAAAATGTCAATTGTTCAACTTTTTACCTGAAAAATAGGACATAGATTTATGTTACAGCAAACAGGTTAAAATATTTCAAGGGAGGACTTTTTAGTACTCATTAGTTATAACTTACATATGTTGAAAACACTCAAATCACTTCTGTACCAATTTCTTTTGAGGTTTTGTCATATTTTGACTGGACTATATATGCCCAACACACCACTTGGATTTCTAACAACAATGTAACACATGAGAGTTATCGTCCCTGTCTAAACCTTCGTCACCCACGGCATTGTCACAGTGGAATAACCCAAGTTCGACTCGATACTTGTACTTGTCATATTTCTTCGCACAAGTCAGTAAATCACGTTTTGCATATATGTAGTTGTACCTTGATATGTTATGTACAAGTATATACAGAAATGCGATCAAAATCAACTCACCAAATGTTGTGAAGGCAGATAATAAAACTCCGTCGCTCTTCCTTCCAACCTTGCCTCGGGTGCTGGATCCCAAAACGAGGCTCGTCGAAATGTATGTTAACTGAATGTGGACTGGGCGGTATAATTCAAAATTGAAATACGGCGGGCATTTTACACCAATCGCAGTGATTTTTGCAAAGAGCTCTCAGTGTTGACAGGAAAAGATAACTACGGTTTAACCAGCTATCTGGCCGATAAAGAAACCCATTTTACGAGTGCTTCTTGAAACCCCTCCTTATAACGTACATGCAGAAATGTACCTTTGATTTATATCAAAGTACGGTGAAAATACAACTTTGATTTAACAAGTGCCCCAAGATATCATTTTAAACAACCCTGATTTATATAATTCAGTTTTAACCAAATCAACACAATCAGTACAGGGCAGCGTATGGTCGAGAAAAATAGTGATCTCTAAGAAAGTAGGTCAAACCATTACACATAGTACTGCGCTTAATGAGATTTATGTTTTGGTATGATTGTTTGAGCATTGACTAAGTACGAGGGGCTATCAAAACGTTTTCAGCCTAAAATACTTCTGATACTAGTATGCGCAAGATAGAAATAACTGTATGATATTGAAGAATGGTTTTTATCATTCACATAAACGTAATATGTGACATGCACATGTCGCTAGTTTCCGGTCACGTGACATCTAATCGCATGTACTCTATCAGTACAGCAGTACGGGTACTGAGTCACATGGGGTACTCGTACTGCTGTCAATCGCTCTTCACTGTGCTTCGCCGCGTGGCCCTGGAGGACCAAAAAATTTATGACTGCTCTGTACTCAAGGTTATCCATTTCTGCCTGCACTTACTTTCAAAACTATACTGAAGGAAACAAATAACGAAACTCACACATCATAATCCAAGTTTTACAGATACCCATTAATATACGTTTCCTGTAAACAATTTAAAACAATGTAACATTACTTCTTATCATCAGTATGTTCATATTATCTCGTGTTATTGTGAAATATACTATTTGGCATGTAACGTAAACTGTGTAGATATATGTTTTTTACCTACAAACTTTTAAATTTGCAGGTCACGTGATACAGAACAGGAGTTATTCGTACAAAATATTACGGTGAATATATCCAAAGGTAATATGAAATCACGATTAATTTCTCAGTTATTAACATTTGTATATACAGATGCACGGCAACAATAATTACATTCATTACAGATTCATCTCAAATAAAGTTTCATTATAATACCTATTTAGATGTATGGCTTTATGTTTCCGATTATATACAACTTAAAACAAAAGGCATGAGACATTAGCTATAGTAACATGAAAAAATCTTTAACTTCTTGCAAGTATTTGTCCTGGATCTCATTAAATATTTTCTTCCGCAGGTCCCGAAAACCAGGGCGTCCTTTCCTCTAAGACGTCACCCCCCTGCAGCGCCGTGTCACCTCGCGCCACCTGGCGGGTTGAAGCGCCATCTGGATTCTTCTACAGGGGCGCGTGGATTTCCCGACTGTGCGTAGTGACTATTCCCATCACAGAGCCGGCTTACCGCGCATGTCTAAAAAACAGGAATTTGTGGATACCCGGCGACTCGACGAGCATACAGATCTTCATGGAGATGAACAACGTGTTGAGGGCTGCTCCTGTCGTTCCCCGCACCCACGAGCCTAAAGTCCTCTTCCATCCTCATCACAACTATTCCGTCCACTGGGAGCCCCATGAGTTCCCCTACTTTCCTGGACTCATACACTACCCGAAAACGTATACCAAACCCGAATCTCACCATTTTGATAAAATCCCAAACAATTCTCGAGATATCATTGTGTTGTACATGAACACCCACTTCATCGTGGTGCACCAAGACGTCTACAGACTGCACGTCAGAAAACTGGTCTCCAGAACCAGAACCCTCATGCAACGGGCCCCTAATGTCGTAGTGGCAGTCAGAGGACCGCATGCTTATTTCAGGCAACCGTACCATGAAATGTACTCCTACTGGGGTCTGGTATTCCGCGATATACTCCACGAAGAGTTCCGTCCCTTGAAAGACAGAGTTATCTTCCTTGACTTTTGGGATATGACTTCAGCGCTCGGACTGCCTGACTTCCATCCACCGCCTGCTGTTGTACAGACTATTACGAACACCATGATGGGATACCTATGTCGTGACTGATTCCTTCTATGCTTTGTGTCAATTAACAATCAAGTGATGCGAGACATTTCGCAATGATTAAAGAAAATTCTTTATTTCTGTGTTTCTCTTCGCCCGACTGTAAATTGGCCACCGACCCAATGATAAAAAATCCACTCGAAATCAGGACCAACTGACTGCTCGTTCAATTGCTTCCTGCCTGTGTCAGTGCTATGGTGAAGGCTGTAGGTAGACGTGAAAATTAATAAAACAAACAAGATAATCGCTTGGTATTAACATTTGTTGATTATTAACATTAATACATTAAGGTATTAAAACATAAAACATCGAGGTGTCTAACGTTGTGGCAGTAACATCTGATTCAGTCTATTCCATATTTTCTGCTGGTTTTGCTTGCAGTGCAATCTTTGTTATAGATTCTACATCTGCAAATTTGACAACAAATGATCTTGGTCTTTGAATGGCATTTAGATGTGATACACATAAGGAAGTTCTAAAAAAATTATTTTGCTGACATATATATTTCTTGAATACCAATGAAAACAGAATAAACTAGGATTGCCTCCTGGGCAATACTGGCGGTCTTCAGACTTCCCCATATACACCCTGTGGCTACCTTTACTTATCCTGTTTCTTTGGACGCCAGCTGGATCGCCCATTACAGTGTTTCTGAGATAGAATTACCAAGAAAGTAAATGTTAGTTAATGTGAAATATTGACTCCCTAATTTGGCGCTGATTCATTGCAGCTGACACAAACTGCAGAAAAACAAACAGAAACCCACAGCCAAGCACAGCAAAGGAAATGAGCAACAAATACTGATATATACTAAAAGAGAGATTACTGGTAAATGTTGCCGATTTTGTTGTTATGAAAATATCAAGTATGATGGTCTCACAGTAACTCAACTCAACTCAGGCTGGCAAACAAACTGCTGGAGAGATTAGATCGTGCAAATTCCCAGAACACTAACTCTTTTGACTTTAGACCTAAGAAGAACGGAGCTACGGCCTGTTAAAGAGGGAACTATTTCGTTGGGCATTGCAAAGTCACTCACGGTGCATGTTGCTATATTTTACTGGCGCTTCCTTCACCTATCTCACCAGCTATCTCACCACTAACCAAATGCGAACAGTCCGAATGGTCGTGTTTGTGACGTAATTGTTGACATTTACATGACAATAATGTGAAGCAAAATTGTTCCCCATTCATTTATCTACAGTTTGGTACCTTAAAAAACGCAATTCATTGTGTTATCGCAGAGCTGTGACATTTTTATGAACCCTATGAAAATGTGTCTTAGAAAATTCACCGACTTCCAAGGGTGATAACTCCACAACTATTCAAGATATCGACATGCCTTGAACAGGCTATGTAGTCCGGAGTGTGGGCTTTACAACGATATATCAAACACGAATATACTATATGCCGTTCAGGAGAAGGACATTTTTAAACACGGGCACCGTTAAAACGGCAAAATCGACAAAAAACTCAGTTTTTTCAAAATTGCGGAAAATTCCATCAGCTGTCCGACTTATTTTATGCATTGAACCGATGGAGAAAGACGTTGTCTACATTGAGTGAAAACTTGGTCAACTTATTTGTTATAGTTTTGGAGATATTTAGATTGAAAGATTTTGCAATATTTTGACATTTCGGGTTATCTGCCCTTACCGGAAGCCAGAAGTCGGGTTTTTTTCGACTATGTATCAAATTTAGCATACAGGCTATCGTCCCTGAAAGTTTCATGAAAATCGCCCAAGAGGTTAGGTCAGAGCTGTGACATTTATATAAACTCTATAAACATGCGTTTGACAAAATTGACCAACTTCCAAGGGTAATAACTCCGACACTATTTAAGATATCGATATGCCTTGAACAAATTAAGGTGTCCAGAGTATAGGCTTTCCAACGGTGTATCGAACGCGATTGTACTATTTGCCGTTCAGGACAAGAAGATTGTTAAACACAGACACCGTCAAAACGTGCAGAAATGTGCAAAATCGCCATGGTTGTGCTTGTGTCGTAATGGTGACGTAATTATTGATTTTTACATAACCATGATGTGAAGCAAAATGTTTATCATTCAATTACCTACAGGTTGGTACTTAGAAAAATGGAATACATTGATTTTCGCAGAGTTGTGACCTTTTCTTAACCCTATGAAAATGCGTCTTTGAAAAATTCACCAACTTTCAAAGGCGATAACTCCAAAACTCTTCAAGATATCAGAATGCCTTGAACAAATTAAGGTGTCCAGAGGATACGCTTTCCAACGGTGTATCGAACTTGATTGTACTATATGCCGTTCTGGAGAAGAAGATTTTTAAAGACAGACACCGTAAAAACGAGGAAATCGGCAAAAATTTCAGTTTTTCCAAAACTGCGGAAAATCTATCATGACGGCCAACTTCCGCTATGCGTTAAATCGATGGAGAATGATGTTGTCTACATTGAGTGAAAATTTGGTTAATTTATCTCTTATAGTTTTTGAGTTATTCAGGTGTAAAGATTTCGACATTTTGGGTTCTCTGCCCTTACCGGAAGCCGGAAGTCGGGATTTTTTCGACATTGTATCAATTTCAGCATACACGCTATCATCCCTGAAAGTTTCATAAAAATCGACCAAGCGGTTAGGTCAGGGGAGCGGGTACAAAATCTGTACAAATAATAATAATAACATTCGGATAATAATAGTAGGTCTTCCAGACTGTCGTCTGAAGACCTAATTAGAACCCACACCCTCAGAGTCAGGCACCTTATCGCCATCACACAAAGTCAGACGCCTAGACCGCTCAGCCACCGGGGCTTCCACAATGATGGAAGTCGGACAACTGGTAGTCTAGACTGCGGACTCTGTTTACCCCTCTGATAAGGGTTAATTGGCACGGCGCCCAAGGCCGAAAGCTATGAAATACACAATGCCAATTAGGTGCCTGACTCTGAGGGTGTGGATTCGAATCCCGGATGGGACTCAACCCAAAAAAGTACTATAAAACGTACTGTCGGAAATAGAAAAAAAACTGTATTTTCTCATTTATCTCTACAATTTATGTAGTTGATATGTGAAAGTGTGAAATATCTGTTAAACTTAGTTCGGCCTAACTACAGTCTCGGTGGTAGAGAGATAGGAAACGGAGAAAAAGGACTTTACTGAGGGGAAATTAGTCCAGAAATGAGCAATGGGGGTCCAAAAAGACTTATTTGGAACAGACCATGGCTTTATGCAAATTAGTGTGCGACGATATTGTATTACAAAGGACACTTTTTAAATGCCCAATTTGAAATTAGACGTAGATTCATTATAAACGATAGCTGACTTAAAAAATAATAACTTTTATGCCGAAACTATTAAGGATGTAGCTACTATGCAGTCTCACTGTCACTATAAAAAAGAAACAGATAGGAGGGGCCGTCTCAAAAGCAAAACCTGGGGTCGGGCTTGGGGATAGAGATATCAGCTAAGATAAGATAATCCTTTAGGGCAATTATACTGGGGAGGTACACGGCACGTCACAACAATTTACAAATAATATCCAGTCCTGTCGATCTTCGGGTGGTCATGCCACCTATATACTACGATGCGTTTCTATGGTTTTCGGGTATCATACTCTTTTACAAATCTCAACATAAACTATATGAAACTATATGAAAGAAAGACACATAAGATGTTAATCAATAGATGGGACATTGTCAACACACAACAAAAAGCACAAAATATCTTTGAGATGAACCCTTGTGCCTGTAGGCAGCACGTGCATTTCATGCCAGGTGAGTCGACGGTCCGTCGTCATACCTGGCTGAGCGACCTAATTGCCATCTATAGTCTGATCTATTGTTTTCAGCAGCTATTCGTATTTTTTTCTAAGTTTTGCCCGATTTTACGAGTAAACATGCTTTTCTGGATATCGTATTAGGCATCCCACTGAACGCCCAGTTAGGCCGAAGTGGGTTATTTCGACATATGCTATTTGCAATTGTGTAAATTTTAGGGATACAGAGTAACAGCCTAACAACAGGGTTTTTTTTCTATTTCCGACAGTACCTTTTTTTTTTTTTTTAGAATCTGTACTGTACTAAGAAAGTGTCATCCCAAATATAACATGTTACATTTGACCACTTTCTAAAATGGCACCGTGAGATGCCGGGGAATACACATGCCCCCCGTCCCACTACGAACCCACTATACTGACCGCCTTCAAGTGTAAGTTTTGTTACGGCCTATTACGTGCTGTCAAGTTTTTTTGCGTTCCTCCCGTTTTACTACGGCCAAGCACTTTCTCATTAGATTATGAACCGTGACTTCCGTGGCAAATTTTTGAACAGTTTACAAATTAGGCGTAGCATCCACGGCAACCAGGGCCTGACATGTTCGCTAATTCAGTCCCCCTACGTTGTCTCGCGTCCATCCCGTTTGGTCCCCGTTTCAACACTGGGCTGCCGTGGCCACCGAGAACAGTGTAACCATAGCATTAGTTGGTTGGTTGTCTAATGCTGCACTCTCCAATATTCCAGGGTCTAGATTTCAGAAGCTCTCTTAGCACTAAGATAGTCGTAAGTGCCATACATTAACATCAACTTACGACCATCTTAGCGCTAAGAGAGCTTCGAAAATCTAGGCCCAGGTCTACGGCGGCGGTCTGTAAATAATCGAATCCGTATCAGACAATGCAGTGATTAACAGCATGAGTATCGATCTAAGCAATTGGGATACGATGACGTGTCAACGAGCCTGGCAACCCTATCCTGTTAGTGACCTCTTACAACAAATATGGGTTGCTGAAGACCAATTCTAACCCAGATCTTCACAGTTCACTGGATGAGGTAAGGCCTTCATGTCTTCGTCTTTGGGCTTGCATGTGTATAACTTAGTGTGCCAGAACAACAGAACATGTGTGCTGAACAGGATAAATTAGCAACAGTTTATTACACTATTTACAGACAATTCTGGAAACAGTTCATACATGTATTCTCAACACATCACAAGTGATCATTCTACATATTTACGCATGAAAAAATGAAAATGACAAAGTAACAAACGAAAAAACCATCCCAACAAACTGTTTTTCAGATCAATTCACAAAACGACAAAGCACAAACCAACATATTCAAAACAAGAGTGAACAGATTCGTGTGGACATCAAGAGTTTTGCCCTCCTGGAGACAAACAGGTTCAACCAATCATTTACAAGAGGTAAGGGAGCCTCCACCATTGCTATCTCTACCACAATATCTTGCTCACAACAGGACAGACTGGATTACAAAGCTGACCACATCATATAGGTGGTGACCACTTGAATATGGGTTTCTGTGAAGCTGTTGCTGAATAATTTGTCTTACGTCTTAGGGTATAAAAAAATGTATTTACTGCACATCCTGGAGGTAATGTGTTGAGTGAATAGACACTGCATAACTGAATAAAGAACTATTTCGCTCCTTTCAGAGAAAAACATGTTTCTTGACATTTCTCGAACAGGACTACAGTATAAGTATCCCCCAAGGATATAGGCACTAACATGTGGAGCAAAATATCACAGTAAAGGAAGTTAAAATCTACGTCAACTGCCTTCATTGATATACTATTCAAAATATGTAAAAAACACCAGATTCTTTCATATCACTACGGTTACATTGCATGGCAGATAAATTATAGTAATCAGAGTGAATGAGTTGGGTTTTATGCCGCTTTTAGCAATATTCCAGCAATATCACGGCTTCACACACTGTACCCATGTGGGGATATGAACCAGGGTCTTCGGTGTACATAGCGAACACCTTAACCACTGAGTTACGCCACTGCCCAATGAGAAAAAAATGGGTATTCTTTAACATCTTAATCAATATACAGAGGAAGCTGTCAAAACTGGCAGCTGTCCAATCTGGCAAGTTGTCAACACCAGCGTAAAATCTCAGTCCCATCCGTGGCTAGTACATTTATCATCATTTATAAGCTCTACAATCCGGCAGCTGTCAATTCCAGATCTCAGCATAAAATGAGCCTCCCGAAAAAGTGTTTATACAGTAATCAGGGCTGTCTAATCCGGCGCATGGCGAGGAGTCACCAAGATAATTTGATCTTAGTTCAGAATGGGTATATTTGAACATGTACTTAGTGAGTTATTAGACGGAAGATCTTGTTGTTTATGGATAACACTCAAAGCCACGCCCACAGAGTGTCACTCAGCAATGTTACGCTCAAGTATTTGCCTGCAAACACCATGTCCGTGTTACAACCTCTTCACCAAGGTATGATTTAGTCATTTGAAGTCAGATACAAATCGTGGCCTGAATGCAAATTTGTATAATTGGGACTCTACTTAATGTCGCTATCTTCATTAAATGAGCTTTAGTTTTTAAGAATTTCATTTATGAATAAAAAATCATGTATATGGAAAATCTCATCCTACTGAATTCACATTCTAACAAAAGTAACTGAAGAGCCCAATATTATTTTGTCCACTGACCAAAGTTTGTTACCAATTCATAAAAACAAGAAAGATTATAATTTTATGCAAAGGACACCATCAGGTAGGCGAAGGAATCAGTCCAGATATCTGCTTTCTTAAACTAGTAAAGTCAACTAGCTACCGCTAGTTTTTTGATAGATCGTCAAATTTTCAGGTTTATTACAGCTTATGCACTTAATGTACAATGCATCAGTGTTTCGTCTCCACAAACAAATTAATCCAACTTGAGAATCCCTTCTTACACTGCTCCCTGTTGACAACAAGCGGTTTCCATGACAACTCAATAAGCTCCAGCAGAACAGTTTCTAATGATATTTTCATGAAATTCATGTTAACAATGGTCACCTGGATAAACACAGTCAATATGAGAATATAATGCACACATCATCAATAGTAATTAGGCCAGACCAATTTTATTTCTTGTTTTACGGATTTTTGACCTCAGAAAACCGTAAGGCAGGAGGAAAATATAAACCACCAAAGTAATATTCTTTTTAAATACTAAAAGTTTTTTACTTTGGGCAATTTATGAAGAGTAAATGGGGTCAAAAACAATCTAAAAACATTTTCTTGCACATTTACATTTTTTGCCAATAAAAATATTAAAATTTATTTTTTGAGTGGGGAAAATTAATTTCTATTTTTTTTCTTATTCTTGAAAAAATACGACTGGTGGATCCGTAAACAAGAAATAAAATAAGTCTGGCCTTATCATGATTATACGACAGTACATACACATAACAGTGTATAAACTACTGGGTGACAGTATCACATCATAAATTATGTTTATACTACAGTATCACAGGAAAGGTGAGAACACGGAGAACCAATCATCTTGATAACAGTACCAACGAGTATGTCCAGTGATCCCAGAGAACTGTTCAACATGTTCAAGAGCTTAACCATGAAAACAGACACCAGTATTGCCCTAAATTCACTTGCACATGTATACACAAACCTGAAGTAGACTTGACAGAGCTGCAACATTACAGAAAAGGCTGATCATGCACTTCATTTCCCATGATGCATCATGTATTACGTTATTCAAAATGTTGTGGCATTGTCATATATTAGTTATTACCATAGTGCTCTCATGCACAATGTCTTGCAAACAATCATTCCCATGAGTTGGATTGTACACAGCTGTCAAGATACAGTGTTAAAATACTGACCATGTTGATCCACCAGTTTTAAGTATCCTAGTAGTACACCAGCCTGACCTGTACTGGGCATAACTGAGAGGATATTAGAATTAGATGAAGCGATTTTATCATTTCGGTTGTTCAAGTACTGGTTCCAAAGACCAAAACACTATGATCAGATCACACAGCCTCACCTCCCATTACTAGATCTGTAGGCGGAGGAGAGGACAGAGATTCTATGATGCTTCATGTAGTGTGGTTAAGAGTGAGTGAGTTTGGTTTTACGCCGCTTTTTGCAATATTCCAGCAATATCACGGAAGGGGACACCACAAATGGGCTTCACACATTGTGCCCATGTGGGGAATCGAATCCTGGTCTTTGGCGTGACGAGCGAACGCTTTAACCACAAGGCTACCCCACCGGCCCGGTGTAGTTAAGATGAATATGGACATCAAGCATGACTTTGTTGTTTGCTTTTGTTATATGTACTGAGGCAGGGTAAGAATGGAGCAGGCTTTTCCAAAGATCCTTGTTGGGAATTTCTCTACCAACGTAATCTCATCTAGGATGGGATCGTACAGCTGTAGTAGATCTGAATAATAATGTTCACCATTGATCCCACCAACTATGTACACTTTGTTGTCGAGGACGCTAGCCCCAGCCTCTCGTATGTTGACTGTCCTCTCACACAGTGACCACTGATTGGCCACTGGACAGTACTTTTCGATGGCAATGATTGGAACAGGGAATCCGTAGCTGTCTTCAATGTTGCCCCCAATCACGTACAGCTTGTCCTTCACCTCCACCATCACATGGTTGCAGCGGCTGTGTATCATCGGCGCTCGCTCCTCCCAGGAGTCGCTGGCAGGTGTGTAGCAGGCTAGATTGTTACAACAGCCAGAGAAACGCTGTCCCCCTGAGATGTAGAGTTTGTCTTGACACAGAGTCCCTGCATGACCATACACTGAGTGACTTAGCAGAGCTCTCATCTCCCAGTCATTGTTTGCTATAGAGAAACACTCCACTGTGCACATCACCATGTTCTCATCCTGCCCAGCAATAGCATATAGGTGGCCATTGTATGCTACCACAACAAAGTCTTTCCTGGCTTCGTTCATGGAGGAGAGCTCATACCAGAAGTCAAAACGAGGATCATATCTGAAACATCTGGCAGTGGCAATCTCGTTGTTCTCGGTACTGTCATATTTCCCGCCACAAGCATACATGAAATTGTCCACTACAACTACACATGGGTTATATAGAGGTATGGTAGCATCTCGAAGAAATCCTTGTCGTTTAGTCTTGAAATTGTAACTTTCCAGATTCTGGGCATGGCACATAACCAGACTCTTCCTCTCTGATCTGACTTGTGTGCGACTAGACTGAAGCAATGGCTGTTTGCTGACAACAATATGGTAGTCCTTGGCCTGAGTTAGTAACTCGTTGCATTCAGGATTCTTTTTCATCAGCTCCACTCGACTCACTTTTTCCACCAACTCCTCTCCTGAAAGCAATGGTAGTCTGAGATTCTGCATCAAGTCTGCCACATACTTCTCCCTCTCCTCCGGCTTGTACTTAATCCACATCAGCACCAACTCAAACAGACAATATTCTGAGACTACTCGGAGGGAGTTCTCTGCCAACATGGCTGCCAGTTGAAGGTGAGCCAGTTTGAAATATTGTTCTGACTCTGCTACAATTTCAAAGTTTTCCAGCATATACTGCTGGGCTTTTACACGCATAGAGGAGAGGGAGTACAGTTCGGACAGGTTTAGAATGTCGACACAGTTCTCCACAGTGATGACCGTCTCCAGGTACTTGCTGCATAGCTCTACAGCATCACTAACCTGGAGGTGTGTCGCTGCTGACAAAACATCCTCTACATTCTCCGTCGTCAGTCCCAGCTGACCAGTGTACGCAAACTCAACGACCACTCGCAATCCATTTGCCGTGACGCCCTTCAAATCCACACTCCCTTCTCTGCTTTCTTTCATGTCCCCGCACAGCATGACACGGAAATAATCACTGCATGCTGCCATCACAGCCTTGTGGACCCGGATTACCTCCCCTTCAGCCAGGATGGAGTAATCACATAGAGTTTCATTGTTTCGTAGATCCTGCAGGCCCAGTAGCAGTTTACAACAGTGGTTCTTGGAGGACAGCGCTGTGTATGTCGGCAGGACTCCATCAGCACTGCTGGTGCTGGAATTGGAAGCTTGATCTGTCTTCTGCAGCATAGCATGGCAAGTACTCACCATCAGTTTGGGTGGCGTTACCTTGGCAACGTACGGCATTCTGTGGCGCTTACCGGACATTGCCCTTCAATATTGTCATCTGAGATGATCTGTAAAAGATACATATAACAGATTAGGGTATTTGTCGACAAAACATTCTGGAATGAGCTTTTAAAATGATCTATTGGCATAATAAGTGAAAGTTAAGTACAAGACATTATACCAACAAAAATACTGCTGAACACACTAAAATGTTAATGTAAATATATGATCACAGGCTCTTTTCAGTTCAGGCCAAAGTCGTCAACGGTGAACGGACATGACACAAGCCTGTTGACAATGACTAAATGTAAGTAAACACTTTGGCAGTTAAGTGTAAGTGTCTCGGAAAGAAAAGTCAGAGGTGTCATTGATTCAGCACTTTTGGTGCTTGTTGTTTGTGTACACGATGCAATCAACAAGAAATCTGGCAAGTTGGTGTTAAGAATTCTCAGGAGGGATTTTGACTCGCAATAAAAATCATGATCTTTAAAGCTTTCACAGACCCTTGCTTCCAAAGTACGGATTCAAGTTTTGTAACCTAGATCTTACTTTTTACACTGTAACCAAAATCTATTGGCTTATGTGTAGGATTTAGAAGTTAGATAACATAATTTGTCCTGGAATGAACTTGATGTGTTGACATTACACATCCTTTTCCTTTGTCTAGAGCGAAGACCCCGTCAGTGACAATATAATATTTATACCTTGATACTTGTTAGTTGCATGACTAGCCCCTGTACAGAAGGAACTCTTACCCCTGTGCCTAGTTTCACTCAGTGTCATCACCACCCCGTAAGATATAACTAATGAGGTAGTTTAGGATATTTGGGGTAAAGTTTCAGTTGTATTTGCGGTTGAGTTAATATAACATGGGTTATTAGTGTGTCCTCGGCTGTGCTGATATGCATAGCCACAACACACCCAGCAGGTTGGTGCGGTCTGCCTGGCATGTGCAGCACATGCACTGCCTGCCTCTAGCCTAATAAAGATAGTAGCTTCACAGGACTCCTTGTCTTTAGTCCACTGGTTCACCAGGTGTGAGGACATTTATTTCAGTTGCTTGAGTCCTGGTAATCCAGGGAGACGGTGATTTCGTAGACAGAACCAGTTCGTAGACGCGGTGAATTCGTAACCCAGACCGGTTCGTAGACAGTGATTTCGTAGACGTGTATAAATAATTGAATAATAGTATATATTAAGTTTGATTTTTACTTAGAATGTTTATAACGAAGTTGTTATGCTTTGTTTTCAGTGATATGAAACTAAGGGCAGCTAAAGACTCAAGAAAATGTGAATGAATATTTTCCCGTATGCTTTGTTTGTGAAGCTGATGGTCGTCGGGCAGGGGTTGGGGGTCCGGGTCAGCGATAGAACTAAAATGATGAAATATCAAATTTAAAATTTACATTGAATTATATTAATATGATTAATTATCTAACTGAAATGAAATAATAATGAATAATGAAATTAATAAAACTGCTACTTCTCTGCTGGTCTGCGTAGTTAAATGTTGAATGACGATACTTACCTAATGGATATCTTTTAATTTTACACAACTGAATTTAATATATTATCGGCCTATAATTTGTCGGAATTTGTCGGACATGGACCACTGTTAAGCATATTTTGTTATTTTATTATTTAAGGATATTTTCACCGCCGATCATACTTACCTGATATATTTTATTTATTTCACAAAATGCAAACACTTTTCGACGATTTTCTTCATCATTGAGGGTGAACTTTTCCCATTTTAATAACATCTACGAATTCACCGCTCAATCCGTCTACGAATCCACCGGATTTCCATGTCTACGAACCGGTTTTGGTTACGAATTCACCTACAGCCATAATCCAGACCAAGTAGATAGGCATTTTGGTTACATAGGAAATTAATAATATTTATTTGTTTTGAACACAGGCTCTGAAATCAGAGCCATGTCTTGTTAGGGTTTGGGGTTAGGTTAGATTGTTAGGTATAGATTAGGTTTTTGTAAATAAATTATTGAGTTTCCCTTGTCTATTTCTTATGTTTTTGCTAGCAATGAGGCCTGATTCATAGAGCCTACTTGAAGTTTGCTACTTTATCATCACCACATAAAGTACACAACGCAAGGTCCTAACCCTATAATAGCCAACTTCAACTGTCACTGGGCAGAGAGCCCTATTACACTAACATGACCGTGCGGTCATGCTTGCTTATTTGGTTTTCATTTGATCGATGCTCATGGTGTTAAGTATACCTTACTGAACCGACTGGCCAATACTCCATAACGTACACACCATATATAGCAGGAATACTGCCGAGTGTGATGTCAAATAACACATTACCCAAACTAATGTCAGCTGAATTACCACCGCCGCGAACCCCAGGCAACGATTTTCGAGAGCTGCGTTACGTGAATATTTCACTGTTAATGAACATATTTGTCGTCAACATAAGATCCATAGAAGTTAAATTGCAGAAAATAATGTATAATGACAAGTACATTACCTTGACTCAAAATCTGAAATTACTCACACATTTACAAACAACTTAAGACACATTCGCCACATTCATCGCTTTTCGTCTAACCGGAAGTGGTAACGCAGTTCAATTCCAAGTGTTGTAAACATATCTGCAAAAGGTGAACTAGATACCTGTTGTAATTAACCACTATGTAGACAAAACATGAAGTAATTCTCGTGCAATAGGTAGTGGTTAGGTTGATACTGGCGATATTACCACGAACAACAAAACAATTTACGACAACCTCTCGCCGTCTTGTTTATGCTCCTTACATTGATATTTGCCCCCTATTTGCTCTTCGAAAGCCGTGTAAAAGCGACATATGAAGCTTGTACAAATAATTTAGCAAGAACTGGTTTCCGCATCGATGCGCGAAATCAAATAGGCTTCTTTGCAGACAGAAGCCCAGTCATGTGAATCAGGAACCCAGTCGAAATGCCGACGCCTCTGCGACAGCGCTATTGCAACATCAGGAAATTCACTTGATAACGCTATTTCCTTGTTTTCCCAAAGTTTCCTGTACCGGTGTCGACCCATCGCCGCTCTACGTTACAAGAATTCGGAGGTGAATATTTTGGGTTCATCACACAGTTATTGTGTTCGAATAAAAACTGCTGTTAGCTTAATTGTTTTGAAATTACAACATGCTCTACTTTGGTGGGTGTTGGAAGCTCTATTTGAATGAATTATTGATTTGTATGTTAAACAGTGAATGTACTGTTGTATAACTATGTTAAAGAGATCGAGTAGCATCAGGGGAGTAAAGGACTCGCCAGTTTTCACTTTTGACAATTAGGTCTATGGTTTGCCAGCGACCACTCTGTGAGCGTTATTCACTTGAAAAGTTCTCTGATGGTAGTATACTAAATGCAGTCTGCCGACTGGGTGCAATACGAGACGTCTGATTTGTACATATCACGTTCAGATTTCCCATAAAAATGAAAGACTGAGACACAGTGAGTGCAATATGTGACACGCATCATGAATGAATTCAATAGCTTAAACCTATCTTGTTGTAATGAATTTAGATAAGATGACGATATAATTATCCTGAACTAAATCTGGGTTGCATCAGCACAAGACCCCAGGTTATGATATGTATGACTTTATAGGTTTCTTGTTAGTCTCAATACTATTGTCTTTACTATTATATGTTCCTGCTTCCTGAAGGTGGGTGACAGCAGAGTTCAAGCACAGTTATTGTTGCACATACTATCAAAACATGATCATTTACAGTCATTATAACACAGCTGGATTGTGTATTGCAGGTTGTGAGTAAAACAGCGTTTACTAACTTAAATTGCGTAATGTACATGCTATAATGGTGGTTGGGTAATCGTTTCATCTTGCATCACATATGTTTTATGTAATTCGAGGTAATGTAAAAGAGAGAAACATGAGGCTACTTTAAGTTAGACCTAATCAGATTTCCTCACTTTTGTTGTGAGAGCCTAACCAGGTCCACGTCAGTCAGAGACTGCCATAATATGGCAAGGGTACTACAGACTATGATGTAATGCATACTCTGATATACATCTACCAGCAATACATAAAATAATCATAATTGTTCATCAGTTCTGTTTTGTGGATAGGCCATAGTTTCATCAACATAGTCAAGGCCAATTGTTATACGAGCATGTTCACATCACATGGTTCCGGATTCAGTTGAGAGGTGAGGTGAAATTGGGTTTAGCATCGTGCTTGAGAATATTTTGCTCACATGACGACGTGCATGTGTGTGTATGTGTGTGCGGCTGCTTGTACTAGCCCAGACTTAAGCTGGTTTTATAGTGCTAGCCCACTGAGATACCATGCCGCAGTGAAGCATGAATACCCCACTCAGACACATTATACTGACTCCGAGCCGACCAGTCCTTGTTGTACCCATTAATGCCGGGCGCCAGGCAGGGACCAACAAGTACCATATTTTAACGTCTTTTGGTATGACGCGATCGGGGATCGAACCCGCGACCTTCCGCTCTCCGGGCGGATGCTCTAACCACTACACCACGGAGGCGGTCGATTCAGTTGAGAACAGTATTGAACTTGAAGAGTTCCAAGTCATCATTAACTAGCTGTCAGTCCATGAGTGTGTTCAGTGACCCAGATTGATCTAATGACTGGGGACATTCTTTCTTCTTTTTTGTAAGTCTTGAAAGAAGAGTGTTAATTGTCTTGTACTTCATTGACATATTGGACTATGCACATTTGCTTCTCTAGTTAAGATTTTTGGCTTTTCTGTGCTGTACTTGTGCTTGTGGGCTTCACTGAAATGATGGACACTATCACCTGTGTCATGTCAGATTTTACTTGTACATTTTGCTGATGTCATGATTAAACTGATATCCTTTTTTTTAAAGAATTATGCCCAAATGACTAACCCATCTACTTGACTTTCAGAAAAGGGTATAACAATGGCTGGACTCTATCCTCCAGTAGGTGGAAGCACCGCGTCCCAGTGTGTGACCAAGGTGGAGCTGAGAATTGAATGTAAGAACCTGAAGAATAAAGATGTCATGTCCAAGTCAGACCCCTGTGCCGTGTTGTTCATGCAGGCCGGCAGCCAGTGGAAGGAGGTAACATTTCTCTGTCTGTTTTCATTCATTCATTCATTCATTCATTCATTCTCGTTTTCTTTTGTTTACTGCTGGATTGTGCAAATTCCATGTGTGACATGGCAGTCTGTAGATAATGGAACCTAAACCACTGAGCGGATCACCAGATCCAGTAGATATAGGTTTGAAGAACATGTTCTGCCAACCAGACTCCTGCCAGAAGTAGATCAGTAATAGCACAGGAATAATCAGGATAATTGTCCTCAACAGGCTATTTCTGGTCTAGTGTCAGTGACATCATAGATATGATCATACTAGGATATCACCATTGGTAATATCCAACTAGTGAGTGAGTGAGTTTAGTTTTACGCCGCACTCAGCAATATTCCAGCTCTACAGGCGGCAGTCTGTAAATGATCGGCAGTCTGTAAATGATCGAGTCTGGACCAGACAATCCAGTGATCAATCAACAGCATTAGCATCGATCTGCACAATTGGGAACCAAGTCAGCGAGCCTGACCACCCAATCCCGTTAGTCGCCTCTTATGACAAGCATGGGTTACTGAAGATCAATTCTAACCCTCCAACTAGTTTTGAGCTCATGAGGATTATGTAAATAAATCGATTTTGAAGACAACAACTAGTCTGCCTAGATTTCCATAAGTCTTCAACTTTTCATGCACAATGATATAGTGAACGATTCAGGAACTGGAGAGCCCATACTTTTACTGGTGGACTGGTGGATAAACCATATCTACACATGTCCAATCAATAATTAAGACTATAGTATCATGATACTATGGTGTAGTAACAGCTTTTCAAATGGTGAAACTTCATCTGAATGGCGTACTCATTGTTGTGGGGAATTTGCCAGTCTGAAGCCACAAGAAGCTAATTGCAATTTATTCAGGAACTGAAGAATAATGTCTTACATCTAGCTTGGATGGCCATGGAGAGTCGGTACAACCCTCTGGGCTGAGGGCTAGAGCTAACTTGTGTTGGGGAGTCTGCCTAACACTGCGTAATATTTTAATTTTCTATCTATTTAACTAAACCTTTAAACAATGTAAAGAATGTGGGCAAGACATGTTGCCTGATATGGACAGAGTATTTTCTGTATTTATGGGTTGTAAAAGTCCATATCAGACATATGATGTATTATGTTAAAAAATGACCATGATAACTGTCTGGACTACTAAATAATAAATGCTGAAAAATCTTCTGTGTTGAAGTGTTTACTCAGGGTATTTATTGCAGGTTGGGAGAACGGAGAATGTGGTGAACAGCTTGGACCCAGTGTTTGTCCAGCCCGTCAAGGTCGACTACTACTTCGAGCAGGTGCAGAAGGTGAAGGTCGCAGTGTATGACGTGGACAACAAGTCCCATACCCTTGAGGATGACGACTTCTTGGGCCAGATTGAGTGTACATTGGGCCAGGTAAAGATTACTCACCATGACATGCTTCAGACTTTCACAATATTAAAGATTTGTATAACCAGTTACGATTGCTATTATGAAATCTTTTCATTTGAAATGCTTCTGTTCTTGATTCCAGTCGTGTCATTCACCTTCTTATATATATTTTGTCTCCATGGAGAAACTTGTGAAGATCTGGATCAGAATTTGTTTTCAACAGCCCATGCTTGTCATAATATGTGACCAAGAGTATAGATATCATATCCCAATTGCGCAGATCGATGCTCATGCTGTTAATCAGTGGATTGTCTGGTCCAGACTCGATTATCTACAGACTGCCACCATATAGCTGGAATATTGCTGAGTGCGGCGTAAAACTAAACTCACTCACTCACTGCCAGAGCAGAACGGTGCAGTGGCCACCCTTAGTCCTGATTTAAACCCAATTGAACATCTTGCGGAGTTGAGTGAGTGAGTGAGTTTAGTTTTACGCCACACTCAGCAATATTCCAGCTATATGGCGGTGGTCTGTAAATAATCGAGTCTGGACCAGACAATCCAGTGATCAACAGCATGAGCATCGATCTGCGCAATTGGGAACCGATGACATGTGTCAACCAAGTCAGCGAAACTGACCACCCGATCCCGTTAGTCGCCTCTTACGACAAGATAGTCGCTTTTCATGCGGAGTTGAACAACAAACAAACAAACAAACAAAACTCCATGGAGATCTAACGATACACAAGGATCCAACTATCAAGAATAATTTGCTTCTTTAATCTCAGTAGAAATGATACAAAAGGGGGTACTTCTGGCAACAGTTACTATGGTAATGTTACAGTCAGTATTTAGGAGAACCCCGTTTTGAAGAAAAAAGACTGGAAAGTTGTGTACATGTCTGAGTTCACAAGTGCGTTAAACTTCTCAGTCCACCTGTGACTATCTATTAGGGTTCTCGTATTTACAGCGGTGGGGAGACTAGTTGCTAATACATAGACTCACTATTCTCAAACCTTGGTCGTCCATCTGCGACATGGATGCATCAGTTGTGTTTGATAAGAAAAAAGTTCTTTATCTTCCTTTTTGTGATGTTGCTGGAACGTTGCTGAAGTTCAAGTAACTTCAGCTTGCTGTTGTTTCAGCTTGTGTCCCAGACCCCATACATCACGGCGCTGCTGGACAAGAAGGGAGGCAAGATGGGCCAGAGCGCTATCACTGTAAGTATCAGTCTAGACCTGGCTCAACTACACTGTCCTGGGAAACCTGCTGCTGAGAATAGTTAGTAACTGTCTTACAGTCTTATTGGACTCACTCACTCACTCACTCACTCACTCACTCACTCACTCACTCACTCACTCACTCACTCACTCACTCACTCACTCACTCACTCACTCACTCACTCACTCACTCACTCACTCACTCACTCACTCACTCACTCACTCACTCTTTAATGTTTTGTCAACCCCTATTATCTTGTGAAAATACATTTGTCACTGGTTTCACAGTTATAAAACATCACCACAAGGTATATTTTTTTAAGAAAGAGTGATTCTTAAGTGTACTTTAAGCTCCTGGGAACATATTTTACTGACTGACTGAGTTTAGTTTTACGCCGCTTTTAGCAATATTCCAGCAATATCACGGCTGGGGACACCAGAAATGGGCTTAACACATTGTGCCCATGTGGGGAATCGAACCCGGGTCTTGACGGCGTGACGAGCCAACGCTTTAACCACTAGGCTACCCCACCGCCCCTGGAACATATTTTAACTAACCTGTTTCTGAATTAACCATGTACTTGGAATTGCAAGGCACTTTAATCTCTTTTTGAGATTTTTTCCTAAAAAACACTAGATTATGTTATCACATGGGAAATGAGTTTAAAGGAATTCTAGAAATGGTGTTTGTTGGCCAAGTTAATCATCATTGACAAACTAACTGTTGCCATGGTTACAAGGATGCATTGTTACTTCCAGGTGAAGTCGGAGGAAATAAAGGCTGGATCAGACAAGGAAACGGTCAATTTTGATTTCAGAGCTGCCAAACTTGACAACAAGGTTAGTTTCATAACTTTAGTAAGAATATCTAACCTGTGTTTTCTTGGACAAAAGACTTACAGTTGACATTTCTATAATATAAACAGATTAGTTTATGAATGGTGTTTATATGTTTTCATGATTTTAACTTTTTGTAATAGATTGTGTTGTTTGTTGATTTTGACAGTATTGGATTTGTTTGTCTAGGACACATTTGGGAAATCAGATCCGTATTTGGAGATTCTCAAGAAAGCTCCTGATGGCACTTGGCAGGTTGTCCACAGAACCGAGGTAAATACTGGAGAGTCTGTTACGTGACCAATTACGGTATTTGAGAAATATTATATGAACATGATGGACTGGTGATATAACTGGCCCGACATGCATTATGTAAGTGTTTTTATGAATATATTCGTAGACATGATATTTGGTTGTTTCAAATCATCTGAAAAAATTGTAAGCTCATAGCTTTCATCTGTTTAAAATAATAATGGTAAAAATATTGTATTATGATAGGAATGGGAGGAGGGAGTGTTAAATTCTGCATGTATAAATTCTTGTACATGATTGAAGACACAGATTTACTTTTCCTACTGAGTGGAGTGTTAGCCATGGAAGGCAGTTTTTCATAATCTTGTTGTAGTTTATGTTGTAACAAAGTAATCGGTGAATTAGGTCTTTAAATATAACATAAGCTGACACCTGTTGTTTGTTGTGAAAACACTGTCACACGATTTACTTCAGACAAAAACAAAATGCCACGGTGTTCCTGTATCCTCCTTTGGGGTGTGAGTGAGATGGATGATATGAGAGTTGAATTGCACATGCTGTTTTTGTCAGATAATCAGAAAATAATTTTTCTTCTATTATTGTCAGAGAAATGCATGTTTTATCTAGATCCCTCTACATAATAAACTGTAGGGCAAAGGAGTTGCACGCCCATGTTTGATGGCGACTTGATATGAAACCAAGACAAAATGACAACCAACTGGTGATGTACTAAATATGGGTATCACAGCTGACATTACATCCACCATGCCAGAATCTTACAAGATGTGACTTACAAATGACATCTATCGGAATATGGGTGTCAGTTTCAAATCCATTTTTGTATACTTTCTTATGCCTGGCAGTTTTTATGGTGAGTGAGTGAGTGTGGTTTATACCGCTTTTAGCAATATTCCAGCAATATCACGGGGGGACACCAGAAATGCTTCACACATTGTAGCTATGTGGGGAATCGAACCCGGGTCTTTAGTGTGACGAGCAGACACTTTAACCACTAGGTTACCCCAGGCAGTTTTTATAAATAAATTGCAACTGATTTTCTGGCAATGATTGTCTCCATAAACCAAAACAGAATGAGGCTATGCAAAACAGTCTACTGTTTCCTGATTGGCTGAAATGTGAATGACGTTGTCATGCATTATTGCAATGTCAGTGATTAGTATTGTTATTATGTTATTAGTATTGTTATCATGGTGTTATTGTGTTACTGATTATTATTCTGCCTGTGAAGGGATTATGGTTGATATGTTCATATAGAAGAATCGATTTCAAACGATGTGCACTCCATTTTCAGAAATATGCTATTTGGACATAATACGGAATGCAAACTAGTTTTTGCGTTTATATGTGAATCATGTGAAAAGCATTGAAATCAGTTCTGAGAAGTATGCTGATTACTTCCATGTCCTTGAGACAGATATTTACACAGCTGATCCTTGCAGGTAGTGAAGAACACGCTCAACCCAAACTGGCGTCAGTTCAGTGTGTCAGTCCACTCTCTGTGTGGCGGAGACAGAGACAGCGAGCTCAAGGTAACCATGAAAACCGTCTTTTTAAGAAATGAGAGCTGAAAGATACTCATTCTTAGATCTGCATGATATTTTAAAATGGCAAGATAAAGAGCCAGGGTGGTCTATCTTCAGGGTAATTTGTCACTTCATTTTCATTGATTTTGTATTTAACCAATTTTACATAATTAAAACTTGTGTGTGTTTTTAAAATTTTGAATGCTTTTGCCAAAGTATTAGTACATATTCTTTCTGTTGTAACTCTCTGAGGTGAGGTGAACTTTGGTTTTACGTCGTGCTTGAGAATATTTCGCTCATATGGCGACGTGCATGCGTGTATGTGCGGCTGCTTGTACTAGCCCAGACTTAAGCTGGTTTTATAGTGCTAGCCCACTGAGATACCATGCCGCAGTGAAGCATGAATACCCCCCTCAGACACATTATACTGACTCCGAGTTGACCAGTCCTTGTTGTAGCCATTAATGCCGAGCGCCAGGCAGGGACCAACAAGTACCATATTTTAACGTCTTTTGGTATGACGCGGTCGGGGATCGAACCCACGACCTTCCGCTCTCCGCGGGCGGATGCTCTATCCACTACACCATGGAGGCGGTCTGTAACTCTCTGAGGGAGATTATTGGACAGAATAGGTCCAAAGCATTCCTTGTGACATATCTATCATAGCGGACCCACACATAATGGACCTGTGAAGATCCGGGTTAGAATTGGTCTTCTGCAACCCATGCTTGTTGTAAGAGGCGTCTAACAGGATCGTCTGGTCATACTTGCTGACTTGGTTGACACATGTCATCGAATCCCAATTGCGTAGATCAATGCTCATGCTGTTGATCATTGAATTGTCTGGTCCAGACTCGATTATTTACTGACTGTCGCCATATACCGTAGCTGAAATATGGCTGAGGGCGGTGTTTAACAATAAACCCACCAACCCAGACATAATGATGTACAGACCTCTGTGAATTAGCTGCATGATTAAACAACATTCAGTCACACTCGGCTGAAGAATGACTACCCTGGTAATCTCATGTTTCAGGACCCGTGAAGGTCCGGGTTAGAATATTGATCTTCAGTAACCCATGCTTGTTGTAAGAGGCGACTAATGGGATTGGGTGGTCAGACTCGTTGACTTGGTTGACACGTGTCATCGGTTCCCAATTGCACAGATCAATGCTCATGCTGTTGATCACTGGATTGTTTGGTACAGACTTGATTATTTACAGATCGCCGCTATATAGCTGAAATATTGCTGAGTGTGGCATAAAACTAACCTCACTCACTCACTCATGTTACAGATTGACGTGTACGACTGGGACAGTGATGGGTCACATGACCTGATAGGGGGATTCACCACCTCCCTCAATGACCTGCTGAAAGCTGAGAAACAAGAGGTAGGACTATCTCCCCTGATGATATGATGAGTTCAGTATCCTGCTACCTAATTATATACTCATGTCTAAATCTCAGTAATTATTGTGAAGTTTTGCTCTTGTGAAGATCCACACTCTGTGTGTTTGAATTCAAGATTCACCACAGTCATGATCATTGGTGTGTCGGCTGTCTTCTCATGCCAGGAGCTTCACCAAAGTGTGTCCAGATATTTGAACTGCAATGTAATTGTAACCATGGTAACAGTGCAGAGTTAAATTTAAGTCAGTCCTACATCACTCCATCTTACTTCTTGAATAACTACATCACTCCATCTTACTTCTTGAATAACGTGATTAAAAGTACAGTGAAACCAGTCTTAAGCGGCACCCCAGAGGGACCGAAATAAAATGCCGGTTTAGACAGGGTGTCAGATTAGACAGTGACAAACGTTTTCCAACATGGCTGCCATTCTCACTCATCAATCTCTCACTCTAGTGTGCCGAGAGTGAGCTGGATTAAGGGACCCTGATTGGACTGATCAAACCCATGCCGGCTAAGAGCATTTGATTCATCGTGCAATCACTACTTCCTGATTATCTAGCGTGCCAAGCGGATTAATTAGTGTATTGGATTATGGGTCCTTGATTTGACTGCTCATACCCATGTCGGTTTAGACAGTGTTAATTACAGTTACAAATGCTTGTTGGGACCGGAAAGTCGTGCTAGAATACGGAATAGAAAGGTGCCGGATTAGACAGTGTTGTGATGATTATTATATCGTAAAATGGCGTGACCAAAATTTTTGACAGTGTGCCGGATTAGAGAGGTGCCGGTGTTGGCAGGTTTTACTCTATTTTCATAATGATAACTGCCAGTTATATATTTGGATTCAAAATATGTTTATCTCGTTTGCTTTTGTCTGTCTTAAGTAAAAAGGAACATATTGTGGTTTTCAGAGGCATTACAACCAAGTTTTAGTTATATTACATATTTATGACTTACACCTTAGTGCCATACAGAACAATGATAACAATTGGCTACTTATCCCATCCAAGGACTCATGACCAACGTTGCTTAACTTCACGTGATTTGTGACCTGCACTCTATACACGACCACACACCACCACAACCATTACATGGAGATGGTGGACTGACGGATACACCTGCACTCTATACACGACCACACACCACCACAACCATTACATTGAGATGGTGGACTGACGGATACACCTCCACTCTATACACGACCACACACCACCACAACCATTACATGGAGATGGTGGACTGATGGATACACCTGCGCTCTATACACAAGACCACACACCACCACAACCATTACATGGAGATGGTGGACTGACGGATACACCTGCACTCTATACACGACCACACACCACCACAACCATTACATGGAGATAGTGGACTGACGGATACACCTGCGCTCTATACACAAGACCACACAGCACCACAACCATTACATGGAGATAGTGGACTGACGGATACACCTGCACTCTATACACAAGACCACACACCACCACAACCATTACATGGAGATAGTGGACTGACAGATACACCTGCACCCTATACACAAGACCAAACACCACCACAACCATTACATGGAGATAGTGGACTGACGGATACACCTGCGCTCTATACACGACCACACACCACCACAACCATTACATGGAGATAGTGGACTGACGGATACACCTGCGCTCTATACACAAGACCACACACCACCACAACCATTACATGGAGATAGTGGACTGACGGATACACCTGCACTCTATACACAAGACCACACACCACCACAACCATTACATGGAGATAGTGGACTGACGGATACACCTGCGCTCTATACACAAGACCACACACCACCACAACCATTACATGGAGATAGTGGACTGACGGATACACCTGCACTCTATACACAAGACCACACACCACCACAACCATTACATGGAGATGGTGGACTGATGGATACACCTGCACTCTATACACAAGACCACACACCACCACAACCATTACATGGAGATAGTGGACTGACGGATACACCTGCACTCTATACACACGACCACACACCACCACAACCATTACATGGAGATAGTGGACTGACGGATACACCTGCACTCTATACACGACCACACACCACCACAACCATTACATGGAGATGGTGGACTGACGGATACACCTCCACTCTATACACGACCACACACCACCACAACCATTACATGGAGATGGTGGACTGATGGATACACCTGCGCTCTATACACAAGACCACACACCAACACAACCATTACATTGAGATGGTGGACTGACGGATACACCTGCGCTCTATACACGACCACACACCACCACAACCATTACATGGAGATAGTGGGACTAACAAGACCACACACCACCACAACCTTACATGGAGATCTATACACAAGACCACACAGACCACACCACAACCATTACATGGAGATGGTGGACTGACGGATACACCTACACTCTATACACAAGACCACACACCACCACAACCATTACATGGAGATAGTGGACTGACGGATACACCTGCACTCTATACACAAGACCACACACCACCACAACCATTACATGGAGATAGTGGACTGACGGATACACCTGCACTCTATACACAAGACCACACACCACCACAACCATTACATGGAGATGGTGGACTGACGGATACACCTGCGCTCTATACACAAGACCACACACCACCACAACCATTACATGGAGATAGTGGACTGACGGATACACCTGCGCTCTATACACAAGACCACACACCACCACAACCATTACATGGAGATGGTGGACTGACGGATACACCTACACTCTATACACAAGACCACACACCACCACAACCATTACATGGAGATAGTGGACTGACGGATACACCTACACTCTATACACAAGACCACACACCACCACAACCATTACATGGAGATGGGTGGACTGACCACACACCACCACAACCACGGATACACCTGCACTCTATACACAGGACCACACACCACCACAACCATTACATGGAGATGGTGGACTGACGGATACACCTGCGCTCTATACACAGGACCACACACCACCACAACCATTACATGGAGATAGTGGACTGACGGATACACCTGCACTAGGAGATCTGCTGATATCTGAATTTGCCTTATTTGTTGTGTTGACAGACTTCGTGGCCTTGCATCAACCCAAAGAAGAAGGCCAAGAAGAAGAACTACACCAACTCTGGCATCGTGATGCTGTCATCCATACGGGTGAGACACTGTAGGCATTAGGGGTGGGTGATAATACCAGTTAACCAGTATGTTGCAATTCGAACTTCATAATACGATATATTGCAATACACTTTTCGCGAACCGATTTACCCGATACGATCGGCACTTTCTGTGGCCTTGATTGGTAATTTTCATGATGTAGTCAAAAATGCAGTTAACATTTGTATATCTTATATATTATTATACATTAATAGTTTTGAGAATTTGAGAATAGTTTATTTGTCATATAATTGCATTTACGGGACTTTTAAACCATATAAATATAAAAAATAGATTGGTACTGGCACTTGTTGTAGGGATAAACAATTTGGAAACATTTTCAATTGGTCTCTTGTACAATCACATCTTAGTCCTGATAGTGGCCAGTGGCATTGTTTCAAAAGAAGGGAAACAGTAATTTCATTACCTTGAACAGATAAACAGTCAATATATGTAAACAGACACCGGCACAGTAGTCAGGAATTGCATTGATATCAATGATGACTTGTAGGATTGATTCCATCTCCTGGTTGATGGTCTATCTCGCAGACCTGGTTGATAGTATGTTATATCAGACTGTGCTTTGACATACATTATATCATTTACTGTTTTTCTGATTTATGATCCGATTCCATGAAGAGATCTTAGGGATAAGTTGATCATTACTCCCTTTCTTTAACACTTATTTAAAATGGTCTGAGATCAGTTTCTGGAGTGAGTGAGTGAGTTGGGTTTTACGCCGCTTTAGCAATATTCCAGCAATATCACGGCAAGGGATGCCAGAAATCGGTTTTACTTATTTTACCCATTTGGGAATCAAACCCGGGTCTTCAGTGTGACGAGCAAACACTTTAACCACTAGGCTACACCAGTGCCCCTGCTCTCAGAAACATGCCCAGACTTGAATATTTACACGCAGCCATCTTAATGCTAGGAATATATCACAATGCAGCATAAAACAGCCAAGAAAACAAGACAATATTTAATTCATTCCTGAGAAGTGATCTGATGCTGAACACCAATGAGAACCAGTTAAACAAGAGTAAGATATTTTCAAGTGTGCTGTGTAACGCTGGTGATATATTTGTATACTTGTCTTTAGATACTGATTGATTTCTCCTTTCTGGACTTCATCATGGGCGGCACACAGATCAACCTGACAGTAAGTAGGTCTCCAGTCAACACTCACTACTCTTGTGTTGAAGGGGACAGATCAACCTGACAGTAAGTAGGTCTACAGTCAACACTCACTACTCTTGTGTTGAAGGGGACAGATCAACCTGACAGTAAGTAGGTCTCCAGTCACCACTCACTACTCTTGTGTTGAAGGGGACAGATCAACCTGACAGTAAGTAGGTCTACAGTCAACACTCACTACTCTTGTGTTGAAGGGGACAGATCAACCTGACAGTAAGTAGGTCTCCAGTCAACACTCACTACTCTTGTGTTGAAGGGGACAGATCAACCTGACAGTAAGTAGGTCTCCAGTCAACACTCACTACTCTTGTGTTGAAGGGGACAGATCAACCTGACAGTAAGTAGGTCTACAGTCAACACTCACTACTCTTGTGTTGAAGGGGACAGATCAACCTGACAGTAAGTAGGTCTCCAGTCAACACTCACTACTCTTGTGTTGAAGGGGACAGATCAACCTGACAGTAAGTAGGTCTCCAGTCACCACTCACTACTCTTGTGTTGAAGGGGACAGATCAACCTGACAGTAAGTAGGTCTCCAGTCAACACTCACTAATCTAGTGCTAAAGGGTTCGTTGTCGGCACAGGTACTTCAGATATGTACCCCAGGTACGTTTCGGTTTACAGAAGTGTACCCAAAATCAATGTCAAGATACAGAAACGTACATCTAAACAGAGAACGAGCCCTTCTGCAACCCAAAACTGAAACCGTTTGTAGTTGTTCTCTTTCAATTGATTGTGAGTGGTGTTATGCATCGCGAAATATCCTTCACTATGTATGATCATTTTGTATATAATGGAATCAACAGTATGACAGTTGTGATCAACGAAAAGGCACACTGTGGAATGGGCTCCTCACATTTCTGTATTCTGATTTTGTTTAGGATATGTTTCTGTACACAGAAACGTACCTGGGGTACACATCTGTAGGACCCATGCTGACAATGACCTGTTCAGCGGGACTTACTGTCTGCTCAAGGTTCAGAATCGGATAGATTGTTCACCTAGACTGAAACAGATGCAGGGAGATACAAATATATAAGTATTCAAATTAACATTTCATTTGTGACCAACTCATGTTATTCCGGGGCAAGCTGAATAGCCACTCCTACCCCTCTGGAAGTATTTCATATGAACATCAGAACTACTTTAAACCAGAGGAACGGTAACTCCATCCCTGTTTGATTCCAATGGTACATACTATCATCCAAGCACTCACGCATTGTATTGCTGTTTTGGTTTTTATATATTTATTGTAAAGAATTAAATCTCTTTGATACAACTAAAAGAAGGAGAAAAACATATTTGTTAAAGACATATTCTAATGTAATTATTACTAGCTGTTCACCTTATATTTCCAATTATGTTAATTTTCTAAATAGGGTTTAATAATCACAAATGGGAATTGTTTTTTTTTTAATATACAAATAAAATAATCTGTTTTCATCTACATCAAATCCCAAAGCAGATATTCAAAAATGACTTTAAAATATTTCTCAAACTGAAGATTCGTGTAACCTTGCTGTCATACCCCTGGTGGAATTTTAAATGAATTCACTGAAAAAATATGAATGACTCAAATAAAAGTCCGACTGAAATATCCTCAGAGATGTGAAATATGAGCCAAATGTTAAAGATGAAAGTTGATTAGTTGCATACAGACATGATATTATTGTTTTGAAACTCATTGCGATTTTTAATTGTATTTCCTACAAATGTTGGAATCTCACGTACAGTCTCCAAAACAAGCCTGCAAGATCGTCAGAAATACACTCAGTTGCACCAGTGAGAGCCGTTATGTCAACAAACGCACGTTCGTGTTTTTTAATCTCTCAGCGTCAATCCCATGATTCTTATCAAAAAACTTCACATTAGACCCTACAATTCGGTTAGTTACGTTCTTAGTACTTTCAATATCACGATATATATTTTTCATGCTTTTTTAAACTATAAAATTATGCCATAAACAATTTAAGTAGTCGGGATTATATTTATCAAAGCACCGCCACCATTACACGCGTTCTGATTGGTTTGTCATATTTTCGCACATAACAAGCATCGAGACGGGGACAAGTCTTCTTGGAGGTTTACGGAAAGGGGCGAGTGGTGACGAATGATTAACATTTATGACCCAGGCTAGAATATATACTGAGAGAAACAAATAAAGGATCTCAGGAAAATTCAAGAGTTCACGATTTTAAAATTTTCCTCACCAGCTTTGAATAGCGCGCTGTGGTATGAAAACTGGAAAATAGTAAAGTAATGCTTGAATTTTCCTGTGATTCTTTATTTTTTTTCTCAGGATATATTTGCTATGGAAATTGATGGCTGGCTGTATGTGAATTCGACTGGTGACAAAACATATCTTGGTTAAACGTACCCTACTGCTTAGGCACATAAGCATCATGTGCAGCGATGACAGGTTGGTTTGTAAGTCTTGAAGTTCATACAGCAGCGTGATTTGTTTGTGGATATTGTCTGTGTTCCAATACCTGGTCTTCTATATAGGTGGGCGTGGACTTCACGGCGTCAAATGGTGACCCTCGTCAGCCAAACTCACTCCACTACTTCAACCAGCACCAGCCAACAGAGTATGCACAGGCCATCCAAGCTGTGGGCAACGTGGTGCAGGACTACGACAGGTACCCTGCTACGTTTACCCTTTCTTGTACTGTCTGTTTGACTGGTTTTATCAATCTGTGATTCTGTGTTAGAATTTGAACCATTATTTTTTTCGTAATAGACTGAATGGAATGGTCTGGCTCGGTCAAGTGGTTGATTCGTCTGTCATCTCAGGGTGGTGGGGTAGCCTAGTGGTTAAAGCGTTGGCTCGTCATGCCGAAGACCCGGGTTCGAATCCCTACATGGGTACAATGTGTGAAGCCCATTTCTGGTGTCCCCCGCCATGATGTTGCTGGAATATTGCTAAAAGCGGCGTAAAACCAAACTCAGTCAGTCAGGCAGTTGTCTGTCATCATGTCCATGCTGAGTGTAACTTTGGTCATAATATCAATCACTGGTTTTTCTGATGAGACAATTAAACTTCAGTGCTAACGTGGATAGATGTTGCTTAACACTGATCACAAACAATTAACTGAGAATAAAGAATATTGAAAATATTTTCATCTGCTTGTATTCATTCAACCACTAAATTGTCTGGTCCAGTTTAAACAAGTTACAAGCTGTGGTCATGACTGGATTAAACGCCAGTAGTTTTGGTTTTAATGGCATTGTTTCACCAATAGTGACTCCAGGCAGGGGAGGTAAATGCCTTCCTTGTCGTCATGGTTATCTAGCCCCTTCCTTGTCGTCATGGTTATCTAGGCTGGATGAAAAAGGGAATCAGATGGTCAAAGTGGATAGACAAGTTTCATGGTATCATCATATCCAAGATGATGACTTGTGAAAGGTAACACTGTTTTAACACGTCTGGTTGCCATGGGAATGAAAACCTACATGTCAAGGTCACTTTTAGTCACTATCTCTGATAGTGCATTACCATGTTTTTGTTTTGTGTAGTTTTAGTATTGTCTGATGTTCTTCTTTCAGTGACAAACTGTTTCCTGCTCTGGGGTTCGGGGCCCAGATTCCTCCCAACATGGAGGTGTCCTTTGAGTTTGCCATGAACTTCAATGCCCAAAATCCATTTTGCGCAGGTTGGAATGAATAAATTGCCGATCAATTTGTAAATAAGTTCAGGGCTCTGTCTGGTATTCCTCCTTCCAATTCATAAAGTGTCTTGTTGGGACTCCATACGTTTTGTACCATGCATTGTAAAGATCAGCTTGTGACCAAACTTTGCAGATGCATCATAATTCCCAGTACAGTGTGTTGTGTTCTGAGTTAGGACAACTTTATAAATACCGGCTGCAAAGAGTTCTGAGATTTTTCATATTTTCCACAAAAGAATGTCTTTTAAGTTGGAGAACATACTGTTTGCGCGTGTGGGGATGTGATGATTTATTCACAGGCTTGTGTTTCCTTCTCTTTACCATGCTACATGATGTGTATCTTGAAATCCATATATCTGACATGAGACTTTAGCAGACAGAATGATGAATGTCCTGTTGCCATGGTTGCAGGGATCCCTGGGGTGTTACAAGCGTACTACAACTGTGTGCAGAATGTGAGGCTGTACGGTCCAACCAACGCTGCTCCCATCATCAACCACATCGCCAGGTTTGCAGCCTCCGCTCAGCAGGAGGAGCCCAGCAAGGGAGCCTCTGTAAGTCACTGCTTTACTCTGTTATGGGAGGCGGTGGGGTATCCTAATGGTTAAAGCGTTGGCTCGTCACGCCGAAGACCCGGGTTCGACTCCCCACATGGGTACAATGTGTGAAGCCCATTTCTGGTGTCCCCCGCCGTGATGTTGCTGGAATATTGCTAAAAGCGGCGTAAAAACCAAACTCAGTCAGTCAGTCAGTACTCTGCTATGAAGCCCACTATAGTCTGTTTGCAGTGAAAACGTACCGATGAATTTCACTTTAAACAAAAAGGTATATCAAATAAAGTGAAATTAATATTGCGAATCGTCACAATTTTACCTTGCCAATTGAACATTTAAATCTCAGAATTTTATTCATCTTAAGATAAAAGTTGTTTAACAAATGATCATGCAATGAAATCGCTATTTTTGGTTTGCATTACAAAGGGGGTAAGAGCAGTAGTTGGAACAGAGAAACAAATGCACGTGCGGTTCGTTTTGAGTGTTAACTTAGACCAACTCTACTTGTTCTCGGTGTTTTATTTGATGTGCATACCCCCTTGTTAGACAAACCAATAATAGCGATTTGAAACTATGATTGTTTGTTAAACAACTTTTATCCTAAGTTGAATAAAATTCTGAGATTTTAATGTTCATTTGGCAAGGTAAAATTATGAGGTTTCGCAATCATAATTCCACTTTATTCAATTTACGTTTTTAGAAAAATTAAAATTATGAGGTACGTTTTCACTGCAAACAGACTATAAGTGTGGACTTAAATACTTTTGATAGTGTGTTTGAACTTACAGAATGCAACTAATGTGGGGCTCCTATCATAAAACATACTCACTCACAACATCCTGATGGTGGACACGTTGGTTGATATTTCCCATAATCCACCATCTCTGTGTTTGCCAGGCCTACTACATCCTGCTGCTGCTGACCGATGGCGAGATCACTGACATGGACAGGACAACAGAGGCAGTGGTCAATGCCTCCAGCCTCCCTATGTCCATCATCATCATTGGCGTAGGCGGGGCCAATTTTGACGCCATGAACTTCCTGGATGGGGATGACGGCGTACTGAAGACGCGGTCGGGTCAGAAAGCGCGTAGGGACATAGTTCAGTTTGTGGCATATAGGGACTTCAAGAAAGTAAGTGAAATGGTGTGTCTTCTAACCTTTTATTTTCTTTCTTGTTTCAATTCCTGTCTTATCTTGCAGCATGGTTGTTTCTAACCGAATGTTTTTCTTTACTTTCATAATAAATGTAATACTTACATGTTGTCCTATGCATGGCAACCGCCTCTTTGGTCCAGTGGATAGACTTTCTCGGAAGATGGAAGGATGGTGGTTTGGTACTTTGTGTGACCCTTCCTGGTGCTCAACATATGGGATAAGACAAGGACTATCAGCTCGGAGTCAGGATATGTGTCTGGTTCCCATGTCTGGGTTCGGTAACCATGTCAACTGTGACATGATATTTCAGTGGCTAGCTGTGTAAATCCTCTGGTTCCCATGTCTGGGTTAGGTAACCATGTCAACTGTGACATGATATTTCAGTGGCTAGCTGTGTAAATCCTCTGGTTCCCATGTCTGGGTTCGGTAACCATGTCAACTGTGACATGATATTTCAGTGGCTAGCTGTGTAAATCCTCTGGTTCCCATGTCTGGGTTCGGTAACCATGTCAACTGTGACATGATATTTCAGTGGCTAGCTGTGTAAATCCTCTGGTTCCCATGTCTGGGTTAGGTAACCATGTTAACTGTGACATGATATTTCAGTGGCTAGCTGTGTAAATCCTCTGGTTCCCATGTCTGGGTTCGGTAACCATGTTAACTGTGACATGATATTTCAGTGGCTAGCTGTGTAAATCCTCTGGTTCCCATGTCTGGGTTAGGTAACCATGTCAACTGTGACATGATATTTCAGTGGCTAGCTGTGTAAATCCTCTGGTTCCCATGTCTGGGTTAGGTAACCATGTCAACTGTGACATGATATTTCAGTGGCTAGCTGTGTAAATCCTCTGGTTCCCATGTCTGGGTTAGGTAACCATGTTAACTGTGACATGATATTTCAGTGGCTAGCTGTGTAAATCCTCTGGTTCCCATGTCTGGGTTCGGTAACCATGTCAACTGTGACATGATATTTCAGTGGCTAGCTGTGTAAATCCTCTGGTTCCCATGTCTGGGTTCGGTAACCATGTCAACTGTGACATGATATTTCAGTGGCTAGCTGTGTAAATCCTCTGGTTCCCATGTCTGGGTTCGGTAACCATGTCAACTGTGACATGATATTTCAGTGGCTAGCTGTGTAAATCCTCTGGTTCCCATGTCTGGGTTAGGTAACCATGTTAACTGTGACATGATATTTCAGTGGCTAGCTGTGTAAATCCTCTGGTTCCCATGTCTGGGTTGGTAACCATGTCAACTGTGACATGATATTTCAGTGGCTAGCTGTGTAAATCCTCTGGTTCCCATGTCTGGGTTGGTAACCATGTCAACTGTGACATGATATTTCAGTGGCTAGCTGTGTAAATCCTCTGGTTCCCATGTCTGGGTTAGGTAACCATGTTAACTGTGACATGATATTTCAGTGGCTAGCTGTGTAAATCCTCTGGTTCCCATGTCTGGGTTCGGTAACCATGTCAACTGTGACATGATATTTCAGTGGCTAGCTGTGTAAATCCTCTGGTTCCCATGTCTGGGTTCGGTAACCATGTTAACTGTGACATGATATTTCAGTGGCTAGCTGTGTAAATCCTCTGGTTCCCATGTCTGGGTTCGGTAACCATGTCAACTGTGACATGATATTTTAGTGGCTAGCTGTGTAAATCCATTTGTCCAGCCGAGGACGAGCAGCCTCCCACACAAACATGTTGCTATCTTCACGAATCTTGAATGAGTTGGTTGGTTTGTTATTTTGTTGTTCAACTCCGCAATCAGCAATATTCCAGCTATATGGTGACGGTCTGTAAATTATCGAGTCTGGACCAGACAATCCAATGATCAACAGCATGAGTGAGTGAGTATAGTTTTACGCCGCACTCATCAATATCCCAGCTATATGGCATCGATCTGCGGAATTGGGAACCAATGACATGTGTCAACCAAGTCAGCAAGCCTGACCACCCGATCCCGTTAGTCGCCTTTTACGACAAGCATAGTCGCCTTTAATGACAAGAATCTGTTGCTGAAGACCTATTCTACCCCGGATCTTCACGGGTCAATCAACAGCATGAGCATCAATCTACACATGAATAAGACTATAACCCCAATTCATAACATCTCTTCATGGCACTATGCAACATTTGCTAAAATTGTTTGTTTGTTTTTTAAGAAAAATTACCTGAAAACTTACCTGATTTTTCACAATTTTTCAAGTTGTCTTACACAGAAGTTCATTTAAACAGTTGTATTACAGTTCACCAAGTTAATACTTACCAGTTGTGACCTTTACCTTGATAGTTTTAAACAAGGCCAGAAAGACAGTCTTGGTATTGAATGTTAGCTATTTTTCATATATTCGATACTTCAACTAAACCATGGCTACTTGGAGATGGCTGTATGTGTTTCACAAGTCAAGTGTTGTTGGCCTGTTTTTTCACTAATGGATCTAATTCACAGGCCTCGGCTGAGGAGCTGGCTCGCAACGTGTTGGCGGAGGTACCACGGCAGGTCACTGGTTACTACAAAATGAGGAACATCCAGCCTCGACCTAGAGCTCCAGCAGCAGCGCCACCTACTTCCTGATCAGAAACACACAGAGTTATCTCCCATCTTTGATGGTGCCAGTTCAGTTTTTAGTACATATGAAAAACTAACTATAATTACATGAAGTATCTAGTCTGTTTGCTTGATATGTAATGATATAGCTAGTGGTTTTATTGTAGGGCTAAGGCTGTAGCAGACAAGTAATCTGAGTGTATTTAGTTTGTTAACCAGTTGCAGTTTCAATTAGGTATAGGGTCTATATATGGGCATGCAAAAGACTTTCTAACAAAACCCAAAAAATAGATATTTTCATTCTTTGCCTAGCAATGCATACATAATTCTTCTTTAGTTTGTGTTTTAGCAATTGATGACATATATGCTAGTTTGTTGTTGAACTGTTTCCATATTATTGTGACTTGTTTCACTTTCTGCAATCCTTCTTAAAATCTCATAGAAACAGTCATAGGCAGCTTTTAGAGAAATGCTTGTTTCTGTTCGTTTGCTTGTGTGCTCATGATGATGATGATGATGAATGTATGTCTGAAAATGTATTTGAGAACCACTGCTTGTACTTTTTGATAACGAGACATACTGAATCTATATATTTGTTAAGTTTCCATATGCAATATGCTTCTTTACATATGTAATGTTATTTTTTCCTATTCGCTCCAATATATGCATGTTTTGTTATGATGGTGTATATGTATACAATATTTATGTTATTAAAAGTTATGATGGTTTGAGTTGACAAGCCCTGCAGTGATGATGTTTGTTCGAAACAGGTGATGCAATGCTCGCTCGCTCGCTCACTCACTCACTCACTCACTCACTCACTCACTCACTCACTCACTCACTCACTCACTCACTCCTGTTTTGTTTCTGTTTACATTGTTTAAATCATGAATTTAATGCACATGACTTTCACATATTTAGTGCACGTAGACTGCCATTTATTGTAACAATCAGGGTAGCTGGACATGAGTTGAATATTCTAATCTAATCAGGGATGGGCATGAAGCGTGAATAGTATTTCCTGGTAAATATATTGATGTTATGTGTGTGGTTTCCATGACGACAATCTACTTTTGAAATATGGGTCCTATTGGGGTGTTAGATGCAGTAGTCTAGTGGGTAGGGTGTTGACTGATCACACATAGCACCTGGGTTTGATTCTGTGTGAAGCATTACCTTGTGTCACTAACACTGCTCCCAGTGTGTAAGAAGAAACAAAACTGGGTGATGGAGCGTCATGGAAGATTAGATAATCACTAGGGGATATTAACACACAAACAATGGTCAAGAATGTCAGTGTCATGATAAGTAGAAGGACACAGTGTCAGATCAGACATGTCTGAACCAAACATGTGTTGGAACCCAAACATGTCTGAACCAAACATGTCTGAACCAAACATGTGTTGGAGGTTATTTGACTTGAGCTTCTGGTGTCTACTCAAGCAAAGAGACTTGAGACTTGAGCTTCTGTCTGTCAGTGGTGAATGTGAGCAGGTACGATGAGATTATACTGTGACACGTAACTTTCTCTAGCAGCTCCCCAGGAAGCTTAAAATAAATGAGTGCAGGCTGATCCATTGACTGGGTTAATCAGTGTAATGCTTCGAGAATACGTTTGTGTGGAGTTATTTGCTTTACAAGTGGACTTTTGTAACATATGTTATATTTGGGATTACACTTTCTTAGTAAAGTACAGATTCTAGTACTTTTGTTGGGTTGAGTCCCATCCGGGATAAGAACCCACACCCTCAGAGTCAGACACCTAATCGCGAGCACACAAAGTCAGCCGCCTAAGTCGCTCAGCGACCATAACTATGACCAAAAGTACTAAAATCTGTACTTTCCTAAGAAAGTGTAATCCCAAATATAACATATGTTATATTTGACCACTTTCTAAATGGCATTGTGTAATCGAACTTTTGTTATTATCATAATTATTTTGATGATGATTATTATTATTCACTTCTATAAATGTCCCTTTATGATGTCACATGATCCCATTACTGTTTGCTGTTTTTTTTTAATCAGTGTTATATGATATGTTTGTTAAGGAATCATGGACATTACAATAATTACAATATCAATGTTAATAATCATCAGATAAAGTTATCTTCTGAAGTTTTAATATAGATAGAATAATTTTGATCTGAAAACAGACTGCTGATCATTTCTAGTTATTGGCAGCATGTCATGGTAAGTGTGTGTGGTAAATGTCAGTCATTCTATGTTAAATGAACTGGGCTGAGTGTTTGCTTGTGCCTTAACATTGTACAAAACCTTAGGTCAATTTATCCTGTAATAACCTTCAGCTGTGATAAACACATAGGTAAATATATTATATTTTATTGAAGTATTGAACAGTTACTGTCTGCAAAGTGATGTGGTGTTGAGTGACCTTCATCCAGTCACCTACTGCTGCAGTGGTGGAGAGCATGGGCTCTGTGAGATTACCGTATATTTCAATCTCCTGTTTCATATAGGATCATGTCATTAGGTATGTTATGTCATGTTTTAGAGGCCAGTTGATCATCCATAAAGTCTTGTCATCTCGATACTACCATCTTCTAGAATGCCACTCAAACATATCATTTTGTTGTGAAATTGCGGGTTCAGATGATGTTTGTAACACTCATTATTCCAAACCTAGCTAGGCTACCTCTGTTCCCAGCTCTGTTCATTGAAGTAATGGACAAACAAAATTTATCAGGGTATAGTACCAGGGTATAGTACCTTTATTAATTCATATCATGCTGTCATAGTGTTTTTTCCATCTCTAGTTAGCCTCCTGTTTTTCTCTTGGTAACCATTCAAACACACTGTTTAAAACTGTATTTCCCATAGTTTGAACAGTTTTTTACTACCGTCAAGCATTCTTCCTCCCTTAAGACCATTAGGGAAGAGTCCTTCAGTCTCACATGGATATTTTAACAGTGTTGTGTTTGGCCTAGTATTGTCTAGCATTCCTCCTCTCAGAGACTAATAGAACAGTCTTGGCTTTGTCCTATCTCAGTCTTTCATGGAGCTGTCTTTGGTAAAAAACAGTCTGTGGTTCAGATGAGAAATTCTCCATCACACTGTTACTGCATGAAGAAGCAGATACAACAATCCCCATTGGATCTGTGGAGCCAAATTTTACAGTCTTTTTCATCCGGTTTCGAAGTAGTCTACAAATAAAAAACAGCAACGGGAATAGATTGTCCAAAGATAATGAATCTACTCAGCAGTTGTCAGTAGATAATGGTTTGAATAGATCATGTGCCTTGAACAGATCATCAGTAGAGACTAACAGATTGTCAGCAGATTTTGTGTCTATTTAACAGATTGTCAGTCGTTACTGTGACTATGTCGTTGCAATATTGTTGGCTGTGGTTCCCATGACGACAGTGGTCAGACTGGTCTTACAGTTGTAAGGCTTCAGTGCAGTTTTTGTTTACATCACAGAAATAAACAAATCCATTTCTTGGGGGTTTTAGGGGACGCTCACGGTGAAATGCTCACTCTTCTTCCTCACATAGAATATCAAAGCCACCATTTTGGTTTCTCTACGATTGATTTTAGCGATCCTACGTTGGTCATGAGCAACTTAGACTTTGGATCTTAACTTTACGATTGACTTGGGTAAGACTGGTTAGTGGGACGGTATGCCGATCTTAACGTCACGCTAAGATTGGAATTTTATGGGTTTACGATTGGCGTAGGGCTAAGATCGGTTAGTGGAACGGCACCCAGTCCCATAGCAGATTAAATATTGTCCGTAGACTGTCAGTAGATCTTTGTTGTTCGGTGTCCTGTGACAACAGTATGTATGACATGAAGGAAAATCATTTACATAATAAGTATCTAATCTCACTGAAGCAATTTTGCTATATGCTTAAAACACTTATATCTTATAGAAATCTCTATTTTGCATGAAATTAATATACACAATTTTATATTATGTTTACTTTAGTAAATACAACTGTCATGGTAACAAGACGTGTGTTTGTTTTCATTGTCTGTATCTGAGATGCTTTTATCACAAACATTATCACAAGAGCAGCAACTAATTGTATAAACGCTGGATATTGTGTCCGGAGCATCCACTCCAAGGTTGGGTGAAAATCCCCTTCGATGAGACACCATGCTGCAGTCGTGACCAAACCGGGTTAGATTGAACCTTCAGTAACCCATGCTTGTCTAACGGGATCGGGTGGTCAGGCTCGCTGGCTTGGTTGACACGTCATCGGTTCCCAATTGCGCAGATCTATGCTCATGCTGTTGATAACTGGATTGTCTGGTCCAGATATGATTATTTACAGACCGCCGCCATATAGCTGGAATATTGCTGAGTGCGGCGTAAAACTAAACTCACTCACTCAGTCAGTCGTGACCAGTGTATATGTATATTTATATATCGATATGACGGTGAGTATCAATACTCAACAATCTTGACCAGACAAACCAGTGATTGATATAATGAGCAGTGGTGACAACAATGTACCAACTGACTGATTGTGACCACCAGATTAAATAAGCTGCCTCTTCGGACAATCTTATATTGCGGAGGACTAATAAAAAAAAACGAGAAACAAATCTTTCAGCATCTGGTCCTTGGTTGTACAAACCATTGGTTTAGTGTAGGAATTTAACAAGGTGGAGAATAGGTGTGTCAGAGGAACAATCCAACTCCATCCTCCCTGTAAAGTGATTTATGATCGAGTATGGCGACAGGGTCCATTGTTTTAACAACTTAATATGCCTGAAGCCGATCTGGATTGTGTTTCATTATTGATTATTGTGGAAGGATGCAGATAGCATCTGTGTTGTATATTCCGACCTCATGATACCAGTGAAGCTCCAGGTTAGAATTTGTCTTCAGCAACACATGCTTGTTATTAAGAGGCGACTAACGAGATCGGGTGGTCAGGGTCGCTTATTTGGTGTCATATCCAAAATGCGTAGATCGATGCTCACGATGTCCATCGCTGGATTGTCTGGTCCATGTTCCATTATTCACAAATCGCCACCATATCCCTGGAAAATTGCTGTCTCGCAGCATTAAACAGCTCACAAAGAATCAAAACAATCGTTAACATGATATATTATTTAAAATGAAAACAATGAAATCTTCCTATTATTATAAGAAATGCTAAAAGCAGTGTTTATGTAAGCCTCCGACAGTTCGTACGACCAGTTCCTCCACATCTTACTTAATGGGCATGAAGCCGACGATGCGGATTCTTAGTTTCGATTTTTATGAAAAAGCAGAAAGCGTTTGTGTTGTGTAACATGCTACAAATCATTCACATGATGACAACCCCTTTCTAGAATGTCAAGAAATGTATTTTAGAAGCAGTCGGTAGCATCACATGGCATTATATACTACCCATCAAAAGTTTAGACTCACTTAAAGCACTCACTATATGTTATGTATATATGTATGGTTACATCGAAGATGAATGTCTCCACTAACTTGGGGGAACCAACTGCAAACCTTATGCAGATGAATTGCACGAGGATCATGCATCAAATTGCTGTAAAGCATGTGCAAATATCATGCATGTGAACAGCTGCGTTTTGGTGTGAAGTTTTGTTACGTATTCGTCAATTTTCACTGAGTTTCATCATTTATTGAACCCATGACAATAATCTTTTCAACGTTACAATTGGTTTTACAATACATCAGTTCATGTGTAAACAGTAACTTTAACAGTATGGAAAGTTTTGCAAAATTTGTTTTAGAACAGTTGACTTAAGTAAATGGCTACATTTACACCAGTGAGTCTAAACTTTTGATGGGAAGTATACCTGTATGGAACCCAACCTAACAAAGGTACTAGAATCTGTACTTTACTGAGAAAGTGTAAACCCAGATATGACATGTTACATTTGACCACTTTCTAAATTGCATTGTGTATTCACAGTTGTTTACCGCGTGAGCCTTGTCAGTTTACACTTGTTACAGTAGAACACAAAGTACGTTCACTCTAGACTACCACCTGTCCTACTTCCATTTTTTGTGGTGGCTGAGTGGGTTAAATTCCTCATCAGTCTGAACACAGCAGATATCAGTTACGATCAGTTTAACTCGGTACTCTGAAATGTGAGGGCGACTAGATTTGGATCCAGATGTACCAGTGACTGATGTGGGCAGTGACACACACAGTAGGTATTGGACGACTCTCTACCGACTGATCAGGATCCAGATGTACCAGTGACTGATGTGGGCAGTGACACACACAGTAGGTATTGGACGACGCTCTACCGACTGATCAGGATCCACATGTACCAGTGACTGATGTGGGCAGTGACCCACACAGTAGGTATTGGACGACGCTCTACCGACTGATCAGGATCCAGATGTACCAGTGACTGATGTGGGCAGTGACCCACACAGTAGGTATTGGACGACGCTCTACCGACTGATCAGGATCCAGATGTACCAGTGACTGATGTGGGCAGTGACCCACACAGTAGGTATTGGACGACGCTCTACCGACTGATCAGGATCCAGATGTACCAGTGACTGATGTGGGCAGTGACCACACAGTAGGTATTGGACGACCCTCTACCGACTGATCAGGATCCAGATGTACCAGTGACTGATGTGGGCAGTGACCCACACAGTAGGTATTGGACGACGCTCTACCGACTGATCAGGATCCAGATGTACCAGTGACTGATGTGGGCAGTGACCACACAGTAGGTATTGGACGACGCTCTACCGACTGATCAGGATCCAGATGTACCAGTGACTGATGTGGGCAGTGACCCACACAGTAGGTATTGGACGACGCTCTACCGACTGATCAGGATCCAGATGTACCAGTGACTGATGTGGGCAGTGACCCACACAGTAGGTATTGGACGACCCTCTACCGACTGATCAGGATCCAGATGTACCAGTGACTGATGTGGGCAGTGACCCACACAGTAGGTATTGGACGACGCTCTACCGACTGATCAGGATCCAGATGTACCAGTGACTGATGTGGGCAGTGACCCACACAGTAGGCATTGGACGATGCTCTACCGACTGATCAGGACCAAGATGTACCAGTGACTGATGTGGGCAGTGACCCACACAGTAGGTATTGGACGACGCTCTACCGACTGATCAGGATCCAGATGTACCAGTGACTGATGTGGACAGTGACCCACACAGTAGGTATTGGACGACGCTCTACCGACTGATCAGGATCCAGATGTACCAGTGACTGATGTGGGCAGTGACACACACAGTAGGTATTGGACGACGCTCTACCGACTGATCAGGATCCTGATGTACCAGTGACTGATGTGGGCAGTGACCCACACAGTAGGTATTGGACGACGCTCTATTGACTGATCAGGATCCAGATGTACCAGTGACTGATGTGGGCAGTGACACACACAGTAGGTATTGGACGACGCTCTATTGACTGATCAGGATCCAGATGTACCAGTGACTGATGGGGGCAGTGACCCACACAGTAGGTATTGGACGACGCTCTACCGACTGATCAGGATCCAGATGTACCAGTGACTGATGTGGGCAGTGACCCACACAGTAGGTATTGGACGACGCTCTACCGACTGATCAGGATCCAGATGTACCAGTGACTGATGTGGGCAGTGACCCACACAGTAGGTATTGGACGACGCTCTACCTACTGATTAGGATCATGATTCAATGTTAGGTTGCCGGGACCTAGATATTTTCAAACGAGAAACATACCTTTCATCCTCGTGATCTGAGGAGCAGTCCAACTCCATCCTCCCTGTAAAGGGCATGGCGATGTTTTAACGTCTTCTTTGCCTGAGACCGTCGACATGGATTATGTTCCATTATCAATTATTATGGAGGAAAGTAGAAAGTGTTTGCTCGGTATATTACAACCAACCTGTACCACAAACCATTTCAGTGATGATACCCGTGAAGATCCGGGTTAGAATTGATCTTCAGTAACCCATGCTTGTCGTAAGAGGCGACTAAAGGGGTCGGGTGGTCAGACTCGCTAACTTGGTTGACACATGTCATCGTTTCCAAATGCATGGATCGATGTTCAAAATCACTGGATTGTCTGGTCTAGACTCGATTATTTACAGACCGCTGGAATATTGCTGAGTGCGGCGTTAAAAACAATGTTTTCTAGTTTCAGTTTGCTTTGCTTTGAACATGTGTTTCTCTTGATGATGTTCTTTATTGCCTTTGGAAACTGTGTGAAGTCCCTCCAGCGTTCGGGCTGCAGCATACATGAGAGAGTTAATGTCATGCAAAGAAACGTCCGCATTAACAGTGACAGAATTAATTAGATGTTTATTTGAGCGAACATGAGCCTAGGGAATAGCTACCAATGAGTTGTCGTCAACCAGACAGCTGATTGAACAATTACTGAACATGTCTTTTGTGCGCTGATGTGAGTGCTCATGTCAAAGGCTGTTCATCAATACCTAACTAATCGTACAAGTCAAGGATGCCGGCAAGAAAAAGGCGTAACTGACCTGTAACAAATTAACCTCATTATGTATTTATAAGCGTCAGTGGTTTGTTCCACAGCCGAGATCTTTGCACTACGTCAATGCTTTGAGTTGTGGAAGTGCTGACTCAGCCACATTGTTGAGTGAGTGAGTGAGTTATTATTTAACGTCACATCGGCAATATTTCAGCCATATCGTGACGAAAACACTTGACATTGAAATAGAATATATATAGATAGTGTACAACCTGCCGACAAAGGACAGTAAAGCAACTAAAGTATCACAGATATACATGTAAAACTAGTAATTGAATCTAAAACATTTTAACTATAGGGGACAACACAATATAAAAATAGGCTATAGCAGCCACATTGTTGAGTACATTTCAATTTGGACCCGTGAAGACCCGGGTTAGAATTGTTTTTCAGTAACCATGCTTCTAGAAAGAGGCGACTAACAGGATCGGAAGGTCAGGCTCGCTGGTTGACACATGTCGTATCCCAGTTGCTTAGATCGATGCTCAAGCTGTCGAT